CATGCCCCCTGCAATCTTGTCGACAATATTAATTCGCTCAGCAAACCTTTCTTCCCGGCCCACAGAGCAGGCGACCGAATGATGCACCTTGCTCTGCTGCGGACAGATTGAGAAAAATTGGGATTTTTCAGCCTGGAAAGATGAAGACGCAGGGTCCTCATCAGTCCTGCCTCCCAGTGTGGGGTTTGGAAGCTACGGGTCCTGTTTGTTTTCAACAGCAAACGCTAGAGAACCCACAAAACAATCCCCGGTCTTCCCCCCAACTAGCCTTTAAAATCCTGCAGCCGCAGGTCATGACAGCCACCCTTGGGGGCAGGCCGGGGGCAGGCCTCACCGGTCTGGACCGGCTGTCTTCTGGGCAAGCTGTCACCTGTTGGCTGGGCCTGCCTGGAACGCACCCCGTCCTTCCCCGCAGCCCCGGTTTGAGCCCCCCGGGTCCTGGCGAGCTAACGGGCGCCCCGGATCACTTATCCCATAACTGGGGGCGCTTGTTCCGAGTTGCGCCTGGTTTCTGCGCTGAGCATGTGGCCGCCGCTGAAACTCCAAACCCTCACGTTCCCCAGCTCAGAGCCGGCGGGAGGGCCCTCGGCACAGGTCGCTGCCTTGATGGCCTCCACGCTGTCCAGCAAAGGGGTTTTCATTCATCTTCATCATGGGCACAATCTGTGCACCGAGAGGAGGCGGCTGCCCGCGGGCGCTCCCCACCCGGTCTCCTGGAGGCGCTCTCACCTGTTCCTCCGCCTTCACAGCGCGTTGACATCCCGCCTGCCCTGCTGCTTCCTCTGGCGTCTGGGAGGGATCCCCAGCAACCGGGCCCTCTCCCCGCCGGGGCCTCGCCTGGGCGGCCAGGTGCCCGCTCTCACAACCCAGGAGGAAGCGAAGTCGCCCCTTCTTCTGCACGAAGCAAGTCAGGAGGCGGAGACGGTCCATCTGTCCTCGCTGCGGCCTTGACTCTAGGAAGCGGACCTGGACCACGGGGGTCGGGGGGAGCGAGGGGGCCGGTCTCTCCTGCTCCAGAGAGTCCAGGTCAGCCCCTTCTGCTGAGGCCCACTGGGTGCCAGGCTCTGTGCTGGGCGCTGGGGACCCCTTGGGTGTCCAGCCCTGCCCCCAGGGGCTCACACACACCAGGGGACGAGCTCTTGGCGTCGGGACAGCAGGGAGCCATTGTGGGACGCCCTCTGCCCTTCACGAAGCTCCTTCCGCCCTGACCTACGGAGCTGGTATCTCAGAGGAGCGCGCAGGATCCCCAGAGGAGCTCAAGATAAGGACTTGGGGACCCTCCGAAGCAGGATCAGATCCTGGCTCTGCCATTTATTTCCCTTGTGGCTTCAGATGAGTCACTTCACCTTCCTGAGCCTCAGTCTCCTCTCGGTTAAATGGGGTCGCAACTCAGCTCACCAGTTAGGACTCCAAGGCCGTGTGTGTGTGTGTGTGTGTGTGTGTGTGTGTGTGTGTGTGTGTATGCGTGACACACTTGGCCCTCGGCCTGTGAAATGGCCCTGTCCCCAGGGGCTCGCTCTGACCGACACCACCTGCACTCTAGGGGGGCCCCGGGGTTCTCAGGACCCTGTCCATGAGATCCTTTGGGGCCGGGCCTGTCAGAGCCACGCTCACGTCCTGACGTACTCGCCGGTCAGCTCTGTGACTCAGGCTGCTGCCTCATCTGTGCAACGGGAACAATCACCATGTCCCTGGGCTGCTGTAGGAGAACATTCCAGAGCAGCGGGAGTAAGAGTTATCATAGCAGGACACAGGCTGAGCAGGGTTAGGAGCCTGTTGTGTTTGTGTCCAGTGCGGTGGACACGCTGGAGTTCTGGGGCCTTCTAGTAATGTGTTCAGTGCAAGGCCCAGTGAGGGGGTGCTGGGGGTGCTTCCATGTCCAGGAGCCTCCAGGCTCCTCTGGGCCTCCTGGCTCCTCCCCGAGGCCTGAGGGGGCTCCACTCCGCAGCCTCGCAGCCGGTGGTGTACCTGCCCTTGGCCACAAGATGTCGCCCAAGGACCAGCAAAGCAGGGGCCTGGAAGGAAACCCGACACCCAGATGGCGCCCAGGCTCAGGCCAACCCAGTCAAGCCTCCTCACCGCACACCGGGGGCAGGCTGGGGCAGGCAGCCCGCCAGGGGGCGAATTCCAGGACCTCCTGCTCAACCTGGCACCCTGGCTCTCGGAAGACGTCCATTTGTTGATCCGCACCTGAATTAATAAATGGGACTAATAATTAAACCACCTGCAAAAGGTGGGGGGTGCAAACAGACCTGGGGTACAATCCCTGCAGCCTGTTGAGTGCCTGGAAATGTCTGGGGTACAGACGGGGAAAGGGCACTGTGGCCCATCTCTGTCCCTGGGGTGCCCCAGATGCTCCCGCAGATGCCAGTTTTTGCCTGGTGGCCACGTGGAACCTGGACCTTCGAGGAAGGAGGAGGGGCATGGCCGCGGGCCTGGCTTCCCCTCAGGGCAGCCTGAGACTGGAAGGAAGCCCAGATTGGACTGGAGCCTGCAGCCGCACCCCCAGAGTCCAAGGATCCCACCGGAGGGGAGGGGTGGCCCCGGAGGGGCGGGGGTGGCAGGAACCCTGAAGGCCAGACCATGTGTGCTGGTGTCTCCAGACTCCAGCCGTCCTGGGCTCCCAGTCTGACCCTCCCAGGGTCACAGGTCCAGACGGCACCCCCCGGAGGCCCCAGTATGCAGTGGACCAGGACCTGGTGCTGTGGTGCCAGCATGCTGGTGGTCCCGAAGCTGGGGCTCCTCCACGGCTCCACTGCTCAGACCCCCCCGGGGTGCAGGGATCAGGTCTGAAGAGGGCCTACCGAGGGAGAGGGCCACGGGAGGGGGCGCCACGGAGCACAGGCCAGATACTGGGAGCCAGAGCCCACCAGCCTGCCAGGTCTGCGGGGGAGAGCTAGGGATTGGGGCACAGTGTCAGCCCCCCACATGAAGGCAGGGGAGGGAGATCCCCTCTCTCTGCTGATTTCGAGAGGAAAAGATAATGGAATCCCCTCACCAAGGGGCTGCCGGCCCACACCTCCTCCTCCATCTGCAAACATTTGTGGACACCTGCCATTTGGGGTAGGACAGTCCCCAAAGAGAGCCTAGGTTCCAGGGAGGTCACTGCTTTGCAGAGGGGTGCACCAGGAGGAGGCCCCTGGAGGGTATCTGGGGTCCTCTGGGGCTGAAGAAGTGGCCAGGGATTGCAGGCAGCGGGTCCAGCACAGCAAAGGCTTACGGGTGGGCAACCATGACCCTTGGGGTAAAGGTGAGTCCTGTGGCGCCAGAGGGGGAGCAGGGACAGAAGGCTACTGGGGGAAGAGCAAGTTGGAGTAAAAATAGAAAGGAAAAAAAAAACCTTTGAGCAGTAAAGGAATCTGATCAGACTTGAATTCTAGGGGCACCAGGAGAAAGGGGAGAGGAAGGCCTGGAAACAGCCAGGAGGCCCATGTGACCAGGGCGGTGGAGACAGCTGCGGCCCTTTCAGGACCCGCTCCGGAGGCTGGGGCTGGAGGCTGGGAACGCGGGGGAGGGCAGGAATACAAGGGCCGGCTGCCGGGGGCACTTGGGACTAAGCATCCAGACCCAGAGTGCATAAAAGATCGCTTGGGAAACCGCTTCACTGTCGTTATTATTCATGACCACAGCGAGCAGAACTGAAGCTCCTGCGCAGCCCTTCAGAAACGGTTCTTTGTGTGAAGTCCCCGCAGGGTGTTTATGCTCCCAGAACGGCCAGTGCTCCCTCTCGCTCCCTCTCTGGGCGGCTGCGCTGCTGGCTGAGGTCAGAGGTGAGGGCCTTTCCAGCTCTCAGTCCTGGGGCAGGTTCATTAAACCAGGTTAGAAAGAAGTGTGGGGGGCCTCCCCGGTGGCGCAGCGGTTGAGCGCGGGGTTGCGAAGCTGCCCGCAGCCTCTGCAGCACCGGTTCGATCCCCGGCTGCTCCCCAGCCACTGGAGGGTCCCACATGGCGCGCAGACCTCCCCTGCCGCCCGCTGCTCCCCTCAGCAGTGTACCTCGGTCCCAGTGTTTGTATAAATAAAAATAAATAAATCTTTGGAAAAAAAAAAAAAGAAGTGTAGGGCCTGAGTCTGTGCCACTGGCCAGTCTCAAGCCCTCCTGAGTCAGCGGCAGCCTGTCTGGGTCCCAAACACCCACTGCACTGGAGTGACACCCCTGGGTGAAAGGCTGACTTAGGAGGAAGAGCTCGGGACTGGGTGCATATAACCATCCTCAGGGCCCACACCTACACCCAAAACTGAAACCGTGGCCTTTAAGGAAGTGAGAGAGTGAGTCAGGGAGGCCGGCTCTGCCCTGAGGACCGCTGGAGGCCCTTCCCACCTCCCCACTCCTGTCACTTCGGGAGGCTCTCACCTCCTGGGGCTCTCACCTCCTGGGGTCCTCTCTACCAAGCTGGCTTACTTAGTTTGCCTCACCTGTCACCACCACAGCCACAGAGGATAATGGGGTTGTTAGTGATGAGAAGAGAGGTGGGTGAGAGCGAGGTAAAGAAATGAGGGAGCAAGGGTGCACGTACGGACTTGGGGACAGAATGGGAGAGGGTTGCCCTGAGGAGCAAGAATCGAGTCTGAGGCCAGGGGCTGCTGGAGCAACGCTGCTATTTACAGGACACTGTGGAGCAACACACGACAGAAACGCAGCAGCCATCTTAAGAGCTAAAAGAGCAAGAAAGACAGACAAGAAGTTTTCATATAGAAACTAGAACACCAAGATCTCTGGCAACTTGATGTTTGGGAAAAAGATTGTTTTATATAACCTGACCTTATAAGAGAAGGAAACACTTGGATATAAGCAAATAAAAAGGGCTATCCTGGCTGTCAGGCAAGCGTCCTTGTCCTTTCAGAGGGCTTTTCTCTTCACACCTGTTACCCTTGTGGGAAACGAAGCCAACCCTTTAAGAGCTGGGTGAAGGAGCACCTTCTGCACCAAGCCCCGCAGTTCCTGTCAGTCAGGTCAGGCGCTGGCTAGGAATGCAGCTCCCTGCCTTCCCCAGACAGACTCAACAGGTGTGGGGCACGGCCCGGGCCTGCAGCTGGTAATCCCAGATGGCTGACGTGGGCACCACGGTCCAGATGTCCTGCAGCACGGGGAGCTTCTCACCCCTCTGTGGGATAAGTCACCTGGAGGATTTGCCTAAAGATTCCTGGCCCTCTCAGGAAGAAGGATCTGATTTACTAACAAGAGTGCCAGGTGATTCTCAGCAGGGGAGTTTGCTAAGCACTGGTTTCTAGAACTCTACGGGGCTCCACCCCCACGAGAGATTATAATTTGTTGGTCAGCATCCTTGCCGGAACCACCAGAATTACTGATCTCAAACAGCACAGCCAATATATGTGGATCAACAGCCCTGCGTGGAGACGTTTTGTCAAAATTACAAATTAGGAGAGCTAAGGAAAGCATGAAAATGTGCTATTTAAAAAATCACGTTGGATACTCTTTTCACGGGAGCATAAAATTTAATGTTTGGGCAGCAATATGTTGAATTCCTGGTGAACAAATAAAACCACCACGGTTTTCATATTCCTCATCTCCATCAGCTTCAGTCCCTTGGACTGAGAGTCATTTCCATTTTAGCACGAAACACGGAAGATATTTTCTACCAGATTGACTGGTTGACTTTCTTTTAGAAGTCTACGTTCTGCATTTTGGTACCCAAAGAAGACAGAAGAGGATCCCTCCGCGCAAGCTCTTCAGTGGACGCTGACCTCTCTGGGTAAAGAACGCTTTTACCGCCCAGGGCAGCTTCTGACCCGATGCACTTTTCAAGATGGACACACACTCTCCAGGCAGCACCGAGGGAGGCCTCGCTGCACCCTCCCTGGCCAGCATGCGGTGGGAAAGGCTACACGGCCATGTACTTGGAGAGAGGGTTGGGTGGGTTACAAAAAGCACATAGGTAATTCCAGTTTGGCAAGAAAAATTGCGCTTTCGGTTCTAGGAAAGTTGTAGCATTAACTTTAATACTGTACAGACTGCACGGAAGCTGGACCTTGGTCAAACTAATGTTTCCTTCTAAAAGTGCAACCAGTGTGAAGGAAGCACCTTAACACCAGCCAGGCAACCTGCAGAGCACACTTGCTTCCATGACTCAGGCGCCGCCTGACGGCAATTCCGCTCACTTGAAAGATTAATAGAGATTTCAATAGATACTGTGGTGAGGACTTCTGCTCCAGAACCAGGCTGATGAACAGCTGCCAAACCTGGGGGTCAGGTAGGAACTGTGCTGAACAGTTAAAATTCCCCATCCTGTTATTAACAGCTGGGACATTCTAGTTCTTCCTGTGCTGCATTTAACAAATGCCCATACATGTTCAGATGAAGACCAGTGTGAATTCATGGAGATTATCAGTAAAATTTGAAAAGTCCCACACATATTCAGAAAAACTTCTGAATACAAAAATAGATGACTGGAAACATAAAACCCAGTGAAATACTGCTCTCCCTTTTTAATCAGTTTTACAGAATACATTAGTAATGACATCAGAAGACAGGACAGGTTTCCTGTACATATACAAGATGGTGCAAGCTCATTACTGAGACTTTTATAAGGATTTTTTCAGTTTCAAGAGGAGAGGCAGTACAAAGTTTTTTCATACACATGAAACACAAGAATACGTAGACAAGACAGAGCATCAACTCAGCAGAGGTGAGTTCTTAAGGCGCGTGGCCCTGCCCACACTGTCTGCATTTACCCAAAGGGAGAGGACCTCCTCTATCTTGAACTTAACCTTTGCCGAGTGCAGGCCTGTGGGACATGGCAGCCCCATTATGACTCCACAGCCCAACCACACCAACCTTGACAAGAAAGTACGTCCAAGCGTCCTCAAGAGTAATAAAGCTATTCTTGGGCATCCTACTTCTTGGGTAACCTACATTCTAAATTATATTATTAATCTGGCAATGTTCTCAAGCATTTTGGCATTCAAAGTATCTCAAGTGTCTCATCCCTTTTCATCTACTGACTAAAACATCTGAGTTTCAAGAAGAATTGTTTTTGATTCCTGCACACCTCCCCCCAAATTTTGGCAATTACATACAGGATAAACTCACTAGAGAGGAAAAAAAAAAAAGGGGCGAATACAGATTTCTTAAAGAAACAAAGAAGGAACGGAAAGGCAGAAAGAGACTGTCTAGGACACACACATGGAGCTGATTCCACCACATTTCAATCTCTTCTGTGCAATCCACTAACAATTTGGAGCGAGTGTGTTCCTACCCTCCCTTGTCACACCCAGGCACATCAGGAGGAAGGAATTTTTAAAACTTCATCCTTTAAACACACTTAGGTTGACCTTTATTTGACCCAAGCTGGGGTCTGCAAGGCAGGTGGTGGGAATCACATCACACAGAGCTATGGGCCCCCAGCACAAACACGGTCTCGCTATCCCGGGGCGGGGTCTCCACTCTCTCGCTTACTCACCGCGGGGACATACGTGCTGGAAGTCTGTGGCACGTACATAAAGGTTTCCAAGACACAGGAAAAGAAAACCCATGCATGACATCTATTCCCAACCCTCACAACATCTAATTCTCTTACTACAGTGACTTAGTACCTGTATAAAAAGGTTTTCATATGCAGGTTTTGTTTTTTAAGAAAATCAGAAGAAAGTAATACTGTGGCTGAAATGTGACCTAAAATGCAAAGTGTTTTCTACCAAACGAGTTTTTTAAAAAATAATTTTACAAGGAAAAACAATCTTTAATCTGTATTGCTGTTTAACGCTCCCCAGTAGCAGAGTATTAACACAAAATACAAACTTGTTTTTTTTTATTAGCTAAGTTAATTCTACAAGATTTCAGTGAACTGAGCCGCTATCTCCCCATTTAATATTCACTGGCCTTACACATTCCACACACCAAATGTTTCCTGTGGTGATTCTGCACCTTTGCACTAACCCTTCCTGTGAAGTAAGTGCTGGGAGGGGTGCAATAAGAACAAAGAACATTCAAAGAACAACTATTCCTCTTTCGTGAAAGAGAAAATCAAGTTACACCTGTCACACATCCCACCACGTCCAGGCAGATAGGTACTAACTGCCACATCCAGGGCTCAGCACCATCATAAACCCTGTCGTGAAATCAAACCAGTGGTTGATGCTGAATATCCCGTACTCTTGATCTGCTTTCCAGAGGAAACTTAGGTGCACCCTAAACAGCTGAGCTGTGCTTCTCTGTCAGAACCTGAGTCAAGACCCCACACACCCATCTCCATCTCTGGGGTTCACCCTCACCAGTGGCCCAAGCACCACAGAGCCCTGCCTCTGAGGTAGCCCTGTACCCCAAACTCACCACCTTCACCACAGAGAAGAGCCTTCTGCAATGTTCACATCTTCGTATTTATTCTCATAGTGATGATATGGAAGATTTACCATCCATCATGGAGGAAAAAAAAAAATCTCTCCTTGACTTACAAGTTAAATCCCCTAACAATGAACTTCAACTATTCCAAGTCTTCTATTGATTTAGTATTTATTGACTCAAATGCGGAAGTAGATGGACTCCCTCTCGGTCTTAGACCTCACATCAGCCAGTATGTCTGTCTGGTACTGTATTTGTGATATCTGACTTCTAGTACCTAGGTATGTCTGACAGTTACACACAGATTTCTCGACCTAACACTCAAACGAACATTCTGTAGTACTGGTTTAATTTTCCTCTCTCCCTAAAAGGCAGAAACCACATGCCACACTCCTATGTAATTTATGATTACAGTATATTAAAATAAATGAATGAGAAGAGGTGGAGACAAAGAAATCCAGCTTCTTTAGGCACAGTGGAGCACAGGTATCTTGGAGAGAGGGAAGAACAGCCTGTCTTCGTCTGCTCAAGGCTATTTATCACAGTTCCCTTAAAAATGCCTGCAAATGCGGCCAGCAACAAGGGGCGCAAAGGATGGAGCCAAGTTTGTTATAAAAGCAGCTAAACATGTTTAGGAAACATACAAAGTGACACCAGTCAGCGATGACCTATGTACAAGGCTTGTGCTTGAGGCCTTGGGGTGCCTCCCTGGCCAGCTGCTCAGACACCAAAACCCAGTCCTGATGAATTATCGATATACAATCAAACCCAAAATATTGAAAGACATAGTTTTTTTCAGAAGAGAGAAATAAAGGCACAGAAACCTGCCAAAATAGACTTTTCCCCCGTAAGAATAGTATGGTTGATTAAAATAGTTTATCACTAGTAAAACTTGTATCACTAGAGCAGACAATACAAATTAGTTTTTTTTAAAAAATGACATTCACTGAATTCTGGTCTGTGCATTCAATGTGAATCATCATCAAAAATATATTACAATTAACAGTTTGTAAGGAGTTCTGCTTGGGGTTTCTACACGATACCGAGTATTTCAGATGAGGAGGACCACAGTGAAGATTTAACTATCTATTCTTCCTTCTTACGTAACCACGTGTGGAGATTAGTCTGTCTCCTACTGCAGGTTCAGACGTCCACCATGAGACATGTCTGCGTTGACCTAGTGATCTGCGGGCCCCACATCACAGGCAGCCCTGGACACCACACTCCACACCTAGGAAAGTCAACACACTGTGTCACACTTTAATAATAAATAGTTGTGTATTTTTTTGTTTTCTGCCTTTAAGCTCAGCTTAAATTTTGTCAAGGAAACCATTTCACAAGAGGGTACATCACAACCTACTGTCAGCAATAGTCCTTGTTTATTAGAATCTGAAGATGTCCATATTACATCAAATATAAATATATATTATATTTACATTTCCTTCTCAGCTTTTCAGTTTAGGTGAGTGTATTTATAGATAATGCCACTAATGTCACCACTATTGTAATCCTCAGTGCAACGGGTATTTTCCTTCTATTAGATGCAGAAGATAGGACAGCATCTTAAAAGAGGTACATACTCCTCTTTAAAATAAAAGGAAAGAAGGTGTATCCATGATGGAGATGTAGGAATCTTCTAGGAGATTTTGTGTTGTTTTTTTAATATTTCAAAATACCTGAAAAATGTGGTCCCTTTTTCAGTACTATTCTCTACTTGGGGGCAAGAAAATAACAGAAGATGCAACTTAGAAAGGAGCCCAAAGAAAGAGAACCTGCATGTTAGCTCATTAATCTGTTTAGTAAAGATCTGTTGTAAAATGTCTGAACGCTGTACAGTATTATACAAAACAATCTTCAGCCTTCACACAGCTGGTACATTTCCTCAAAGACTTGTCTGCCCGCCTAACAGTCTGCGCCATGGCCTTGGTCTGGGTCACTTTCGGTCATCGATAGTTTTAATGAATTCCACGGCTGCCGTGAACTGCATCCACCAATAGGACTCCTCTCCGGACAGACAGCTGGCATAAAAGCTACTGATGTACTGAACAGTAGACAGCAAACAGGGTGGATTTGCCTAGAAAAGTGAAATATTCTTACAGTGAATCAAAAAGACAGGTAGCGATGCAAAAATTATCTAACATCTTCAAACGTTTTCCTGTCAGAGATACCGGTCCTTTCGAAAGTAATACCAAACTTCTCTTTGGATAACTTTAAAGCCCAGTTACCACCATGAGTAGCAAGAGAGTACTGCAGAGGCAATCAGGTTTTACTTGGGTTCTAATCCCCGCTGAACTGTCTACAGTTTACTATCCTTGCACGTCATTCACCTCACTGCACTAATCCCAGCAGACTCAACTACTCCACATTTCAGGATTCCAGATCACGAGAAAGGAGAAAACGCTGCAGGCAATGACAAACACTATAAAGAATTCAATGTGAAAGAAGATGGTAAAAGCACAATGAAAAGAACTTGTCCCGGGCCTCCCCTGGTGGCGCAGCGGTTGAGCGCTGGGTTGCGAAGCTGCCCACAGCCTCTGCAGCGCCGGTTCAATCCCCAGCTGCCAGCGAGGGTCCCACATGGCACGCAGACCTCTCCTGCTGCCCGCTGCTGCTCCCCTCAGCAGTGTATTTCAGTCCTTCTGCCTGTTCTGTTCCCGGCTCTGGCTCTGGTGAATCCTCTCACCCTCCTGCATTTCTGACTGTACCCAGTGCTTGTATAAATAAATAAATAAATCTTTCAAAGAAAAAAAAAAAAAACAACTTGTCCCCACTCATTCCTTGTCTCGTTCAGTGACTGCACACTGAACCCCACCGAGAACTTCAGGCACTGCTTTAAAAGCTGGGAGCTCGTCGAGCCGCCCACCCGCCCACCTTTCTCCTACAACCCTAGTTCTGCACAGACACTCTCTTTCTGGGCCACACGGCTTGAGACTTGGAAAGAGGTCAAGGTCCCAGCACCATGCGTGCTCAGAGCAAGCTCTTCAGTGACAGCAGCAGGGGCCCACCTTTATCAACACGAAGACCAGGACGGGGACAAAGTCGTCTGCCCCCGGGACGGAGTCCTCGTTGGCCAGGCTCAGAAGGTTCATGATGGTGGAGCACATTCTCAGGATGCACTGCACTTTGTCCCTCGGGGTCTTGTAAGCGCTTATCGTCCTGATCTCCGACTGTGCAGACGGCCACGGCGCCTCCCGAAGATAGACCTGCGTGAGACCACGGACACGCAGCCCCTCAGCCAAGTGGCCACCAGGGCAGTGACCCCAGCCCCTCCACTTCAGGGGTGGGAGGGGAAGGCTGCTGCCTGTCCCTTCCGCAGCAAACTCCATTCCCATCCCTTCCACTTTCACTTAAGAGTGAAGCTTAACTTTGCAACTTTTAGATAATTTGCTTTGTATTTTAAAGTAGAAAAACCAAGATGTCCATTAATAGAGCAAGGGGCATACAGTAACTCAGAATCTAGAATTCATAAAATTTCAAACAACTGCATTTCTTAAGTAGCTAGGCTGGAACTTCTCTACATGCAGAAGCATGAACAAGCTGCTTTTAAAGGAAAATAATTGAAAAATTAGTTTGCACCATTGTTGCCACAGTTCCAGAAATGTTTAAAAAATCAGACAATTTAAAAATGTATGCTAATTAACATTCCATTAGTAGAGTATTTAATAAAACAACCAGAAAGCTCGAATACCTAACTTTTTCTAGTTTTTAAGAGTGGTATGATGGGTAGGGAAGCTAATGTCAGTAGCTAAAGACAATGCTCAGGTCACACTCAGAGCCAGGGCCCTCTCGGGAACAGCTACACACTGATGAGCTGCCACAGCCCTCCCTCTAGTAGGACCTGGCTGCAGGCCCCTCGGACCCAGGCTGGACAGAGGCCACCAGCCTCTGACGGGTCGGGCGGGGCTCCTCTCGCTGGCTCTCCTTCCTCCCCACTATTGACATCCTTTCCATGCTGGGAATTTTAATCCTCAGAAGGACCTTTGAGAACGTGTAGCTGTAACTGATGTTTATAAGTCATTTAAACACCAACTTTGTTTTCTTGAAAAACGGTGATACGCCATTGGCAGTTTGAATAATACCCCCCACCCACGCGATATAAACCTGTCTTACCTCTGGTATCTGAAGGGCTCTGTGATTTGCAGTCACGACTTTGGACAATCTCTGAATATGATCATGAAGAACCCTGAAAACCCCCAAAACACACATGTAAACATGTATTTCAAACTTATCGCTAGATAAAGATCACAGCTGAGACGAGCTGGCGGCTCTAAGTATTTTGTCTTGTCAGGAAGGCTCACGGTGGGGCCTCCCCAATGGCCTAGGGGTTAAGTCTCAGTGTTATCACCACAATGATCTGAGTTTGATCCCCGGCCAGAGAGATAACCTACATATGGCGCAGCAGACCTCTCCTGTCTCGCCCACTGCTCCCCCTCACAGTGAATTTCAGTAGATCCACCTGTTCTGCTCCCCGTTCTGTTTCTGGTGAATCCGCTCACCCCCAACTCCTCTCTGTACCTCTGATCTACACCCCAGTTCTTCTACGCAAAAATAAAATCTAAAAAACAATAAACAGCAAGACGTAAAAAGGCTCACATTTAGGACATGCTGAGTGAACAGAGGAGAGGCCGGGAAATCCTTCCTCCTCAGAACAGGATAGGACAGTTTCCAAGGGAGAAAGGAGAGGAGCCCTTTATCTAGAAGCTCCCTGAACATTAATTAGTGAACCGGCTGAGAGGAGAAGGCACAAAAGCCAGAAACCGAAGATCAGAGATGCTTAGATGCAGCCGCTCAAGTCACATCTCAGATGAAAATAATTAGGCCTGCAAAGGTGAAGGCTTTGCCAAAGGGTCCCCAGGGATTAGCAGCTGAGGCTAAACTCAGATTCCGGATTTCCAGAACACTCCGTCAGTGCTCCACTAGATAAACCTGCAGCAATCCCCTGGAGGAGAGGATAGAAACAATCTGCTTCAAGCTGGCTCTCTGCAGTAAATACAGTCTGAAGGTCCCACTCAGTATCTCACGCCAGAAGCCAAAAACTGGTGGTGTGGGGAGAAAACAGGTTCCACCTGGAGCAGAGGCTTGGGGGCTGAAAGCTCTGCACTGTGAGCAGGTGAGAGAGGCAGGCTGGACAGGAAAGTGAGCTTGTTCTACAGAGGCCTAAGAGAGTCCTAACAGGAGTCTAGTCAGAAAGGCTTCTCCCAGGAAGTGATGCCGTCAAGATCTGAAGGCTTAGCGAGGGCAGGAAGAAAGAGAGCGTCTAGGCAGAGCTAGCCATCAGTGCCTTCCTAAAAGGCCGTAACAACTCACCCCCCAGGCCGACTCGGCATGTCCTGCAAACGCCAAAGGGTAAAAACTGGGAGCGGCTGACTTTCCTTAACTAGCAGACCCCAAGTCTCATGTAAAGCTTGTCTAATATATGGGGCCAGCTGAGGGATCCCTCCACGGTCCAACACAGGCACTAAGCACAGACGCACTCACTGGTCGCGAAGAATGTCCCCGTCCTGATTAGGGTAGAAGGCAAGCTTGAAAATCCGATTCATCACACTCCGTTCAATAGCCAGCTGGGCGTCCTGCAGCTGCTCCTCGCTGGCGTTTTGCCAGATGACATCCTGGGCCATCGCCCCATAGAGGAACTGCAGGAAGTCTTCCACCTGAGCAGTTTTATCATCAGCCGCTGTGAGTTTCTGAAAGTCTACAATGCAAAAAGAGTAACTTTTAAAGTACACTATCTGCGTAATTTTTAAAAGGAAATTACAGCAATCACTTTTTCCACAAGCTATGCAGATACTATGCTCTCAGAGCCAATAGTGTCTGTCTGGTGTGGTTTATTTTAGGAGAATGTACAGCCAAATCATCAACATCAGGAAAAAGGCAAGAAATATATAAAAGTTCAAGAGCAAGGGCTCTGTTGTAAAATGATAGTGTTTTTAAAAATGCGATATATTGAGTGGATTGAAAACCTTTACTCAATTTTTATAAATTGTAGATAGTCAAGCTAGAACACAAATAAAACGTATTGGTTTGACGTTAAGGTTTAATGGTTAAGAACCCATAAAGTAGCTGAGCACTGGGGGAACTGCTCCAGGCAGGCAGGTACTCAAAGCTAGTACATCCTATGTCCACATCTTCCTACAAAGGTGACCGAGGAGCTGCTGCATCTCTAGTACTAGTCACCTTGAATGAACTCCCTGATCTTCTTCTCCTTGCTCTCCAGCAGCAGCCTCACGCAGACGGTGGTGAAGTACCGATTAGCCACCTCCTTGTCCCGCAGCACCCTCTGCAGCAGCCTTTCCAGGTGCGCCTGCGTGGTCTGCAGTCCTTGCCGGCAACGCGTGAGGTAAGCGATATAGGGGGCCCTCTTCCTAAAAGGAAAAATCTTTGCAGGACAGCCATATACACGGTGCACGCTGTCTATAGACACCAAGAATCTTACTTTTTCTTTCAAAAGAAAAGTACCTCATGCTGAAAAACTCTGGTTTTACAGATTAGTATGTCTGGCTGCAAATAACCATCCTGAACACTAATTCTGGGGCCACCTCAAAGCAGAACCACTCTGGGCCTCTACGAAGAACACCCTCTACTGGGCTGAACAATTAGCGCCCAGACTCGCTGCAAGTCTCCCAGCCCCTCCACATCTCTGGTCTACCTTGTGACGGAGCAGGCCCCCATGCTGCTGGGCCGCCCCAGACACTTAACAGGAAGTTGACTGCTACAGAAGACTAAAATAACAACCAAGTTTAGGTTAACACACCACTAGGTCATTAACATACCACCGCTTAGCTGCTTAGCCTGAGCGCCACAGTCATCAGCACCCCCACTCCCTGGGCCTCAAGATCTCCTCACTTGCAAGCATCTCAGTTACATTTTTCTCCACAGTGTCAGCAAGCGGCTGGCAGAGGGTAATGTGAAGCAATCCCTAGGCCCACTCCCGCTTTCAGGAAGCAGTGTTCCCGACACCACTAAGAACAGGAAAATGCTACCCCAGCTATCCCGGTCTCGCAGCATGGGCACACCGCTGTGCTGAAGCTGCTATTTGGCAAAGCTCAAGAAAATGCACTCCCTGCTACTACTAGCAGAGAGGCCCATTTATGAATGTATTTCCAGGAGAAGTATCCAGATGTCCCCCAGCAGTTTACTTCCAGGTAAACCCAGAGGAACGCTTTGCAGTAAGTCTAGATTCATTTCTGAAAGAACCAAGAAGCAAACCCTGACTGCTGAGAAGTGTCCGCGCAGAGCAGGCGGGGCCCGTTACCTGTAATCCTCGGCGATGGACGCCAGCAGTTTCCTACAAGTCCTATTATCGAAGCGGCACACGCAACGCATTGTTTCTTGAAGCTGAGCCATTAGATTCTTATCTTGTAAATTAATCGCTTCAGCTATTTGAACTTTTAAGAAGCATACAATTTCATTGTCTAAACAAACAAAAACAAGAATCCCTTTATTACTGCCAGTTTCTATGGGCTCACATAAGCTCGACATGTCCCTCAGCCCTTGCCTGTCTATTCTGCATGCGTGTCAGTGGAGCCAGCTGTGTGGCCACCCCCATTCAGGCAGCATGTGAGTGGACCATCCGTCACCAAGGCCCTGGCAGTGACACTCATATGAATGTACTATCTGACCATAGGAATCGCCATAGACCTGAGATACGGCTGAATACTGGTAATTTCATATGGTTCAACCTGTAAATATAGGGAAAAAACAATCATGTAGCCACTCACCTTCTGGGTCTGTGTGGTCGGGTAAACCATTCCTTGTTGAATGGGTTAGCACTGGGAAAGCAACAGAATCCGCAGAGCAAAGAGCAAGCCTCAGTTTCTTTTTTGCATCTCTGAGGAGTAAGTTAAAAATGCATTAATTTCTTTATCCAGACAGGTCAGATGTTGTGAACATTTACTATGTAAACTAGCACGCTACCTCAGGACTCAAACATCTCAAGTGGTGTACCAAAATAATTCTTTTTTTTTTTTTAAAGATTTATTTATTTATACAAGAGCTGGGGTACAGGCCAGAGGTGCAGGAGGGTGAGAGAATTCACCAGAGACCGAGCTGGGAGCACAACAGACAGACAGACTGAAAGCACTGCTGAGGGGAGCAGTTGGCGTGAGACAGGAGAGGTCTGCTGTGCCATGTGGGTTTCTCCCTGGCCGGCCGGGATCGAACCCATGCTGCAGAAGCTGCAGACAGCTTCAAAGCGCTGCACTCAACCGGCTGAGTGTTTTGGGGAGGCCCCAAAACAATTCTTGACTTACACCTTACGTAACAGAACAGGCTTTCTAGTTACCCAAGGAGTAAAGCTGTGAAACTGCTCTGGGCAAGGACTCCTCTGCCAAGTCACCAGAATCACTCTAATCACCACTCCTTTTCCTTCCCATCACGTGTCGGGCTCTCTGCTGGCATGAGAGGAAGGCCAGGGGGGCAAGCTGTGCCCGAGTTGAGACCGAGTGCTCAAGGCCTCCCCCACAAGCAGCTCCTGTGCTGAGAGGCCATCAGGATTCCTTTACACGCTGGTGCCTGCCGCCCTTTCTGGTCTTGTAGGGCCAGAACTTCAAATCTACTATTCAAAGAAAGGAACTGCAGCACCTCAGAGAACAGGCCCCGGGGCTCCTTCTCTGCAGGGCTTATATTTGTCCACCTCACCGACTGGCTCTGAATCTTTCCCGACTGGTTCTTGCCCTATGAAATGTGTAATTTGCAAGTCAAGCTGATCAAACGTAATGTTCACCCACTTTGCAACAACACTTATAAAATATTTACAGTGGTAAAATCATGGCTGGAAAGTAACTGTCTGCTACTCCCTCCAATTTTACTGTAGAAAAAAAAATCATAAAGCTTTATAGTATTTACAAATAAAATAATATGCAATTTAGAGTTTGCTTTAAAATAACTAGGAGGAGGGCCTCCCCGGTGGCGCAGCAGTTGAGCACTGGGTTGAGAAGCTGCCCGCAGCCTCTGCAGCGCCGGTTCAATCCCCGGCTGCTCCCCGGCCACCGGAGGAGGGTCCCACATGGTGCGCAGACCTCTCCTGCCGCCCGCTGCTCCCCTCAGCAGTGTACTTCAGTCCTTCTGCCTACTCTGCTCCCCACTCTGGCTCTGGTGAATTCTCTCACCCTCCCGCGCTTCTGACTGTACCCAGTGCTTGTATAAATAAATAAAAATAAATCAATAAATAAATAAAATAAAATAAAATAACTAGGAGGAGGAGGAAACAGGAAACAACGCTGGCCACGAATCAGTATCCAAGGAACCTGGGCAGGGGCACGTCACTACGGGCTCTCATTTTTGTCCGTGTTTGACAATTACTGTAAGTTAAGAGACTATATATATCCATATATGTATTTTTTTTTAAGATTTATTTATTTTATGCATACAAGAGCTGGGGCACAGGCCAGAGATGTGGGGGGTGAGAGGAGTCACCAGAGACAGAATGGGGAGCAGAACAGGCAGATCTACTGAAATACACTGCCGAGGGGAGTGCGGCCAAGACAAGAGAGGTCCACTTCGCCATGTGCGTAGCTCCCTGGCCGGCCGGGTATTGAACTCATGCTGCAGTGACTGCAGATAGCTTCATAGTGCAGTGCCTACCCCCTTGCGCCACCAGGGAGGCCATACATATATATGTTGTGTGTGTGTGTGTGTGTGTGTGTATTTATATATATATGGGAAGAAAGAGCAGGAGTGGGGCAGGGAGAGGGAGGAGGAGCTAGATAACTGGTGCTTAAAAACTGATAACCCCTTGGGCCTTCCCGGTGGTGCAGGGATTAAGTCTTAGCACTCTCAAGCTATCACCAGCCACAGCCTGAGTTCAATCCCCAGCTAGGGAGGTGACCCACCTAGCACAGCAGACCTCTCCTTTCTCGCCCGCTGCTCCCCTCAGCAGTGTATTTCAGTCAGTCCACCTGGTCTGCTCCCCACTCTGTCTCTGGTGAATCCTCTCACCCCCTGCACCTCTGGCCTGTACCCCAGTTCTTGTATGCATAAGTAAGTAAACCTTTAAAAAAACAAACTGATAACCCGTGTCTAGAGCAGCACAGGTTCCTAAGAAAAGAGGACCTTTTTCAGGTCACTGAGGTCATGTTCTTTTGCAGGTCTATCAGAAATAGAGACCCACACAGGGCACAAGGAGGATGAAGGCCTGAGGGGCTCCAGAAGGCTGAGTGGGGACAGTGGACATGTCAGCAGCTCCAAAGCTGACCCCACCTCCTACCTCATCCTCCCCCTACATTTCTCACATGGGCTGGGAGCTTGGCATGGGCAGGGCACAGCCGCTGCTTCACTTCAATCACTCACTGACGTGGCCCTTGCAAGCTTGCGAAGGTTTTGTCTTCACCCCTGAATGAGTGCCTTTGATAAGTGACATGCACAACTGAAGCGAAGTCTTCTCAACTTTTTTTTCTTCTCTATGCTTTATATACTTTTATTTCATCACTGCAATGGTGATGAAAAGCCCAAATCCAAAAGCCCTAAGTCCAAAGAAGTACCTGTAAGAGAAGGCTGAGTCCTGAGGGTGGGCGGCCTGGCTTGCAGAGTCAGGGAGGTCATCAGCTGAGATGTTCTGCAGGGTTTCGTCCCGAGGAGAGTCGTGCGCACTTTCGCTGTCACCCATGACCTCTAAACAAAACCATCAGGGGGCATAAGCAAGCTAGTTGGGAATATTCTGGCACTACCAGGTATTCAGAGCAACAATAAATGAACACTGTGCTTTTCAAAAAAGCTTCCTGAAAAAGGGGAAAATATTTCTAACATTTAAAACAAGTTATCAACAGCACCAATTATCAAAAGAACAAATGTCTAAAAGAATGGTTTCGCTTTCTTTTTAATTATTTTTTTAAGTGAGGTAACACCGGCCTACAACTACGTTTCAGGAGTACGTGTTTACACCTACTCTAATATGTTACCATACCAGGCGCTCCAGAGACTGGCTTATGATCTAACCCTAATTCCAAGACAATGAAAGTCTGTATTAACTTATAAAGTTAATATTCTGCAATCAGAATCACTGACCCAAGAACTAAAAGAGGCTTCGAGATCATTTTACCTCAACACACCTGTTTTACAGACATGGACTCTTGCCCAATCAGAAAGCAGCCTGCTGTGCAGCCCCTAGGCAGCTGGGGGCTGAGCCGCTCCAGCACGGGGCCTCCCTTCTCCTCTCCCAAGGGCAGCGGGGAGAACTCCAAGATCAGCAAGGACAGAGCCCTGGCTCCCACAGCAGCATCTGTCTTTTCAATTCATCAGTTTAGATAATGCATGCACGAATAAAATCAAAAGGAATAAAAAAGCCGCAGTGTGGCTACAGATACTGTGCTTACACAGGTAAAATAGCTTTATTCTTAGGAAAAAGTTTCAAATGTTTCAGGAAAAAAAAAATAGAGAAAATGTGGCAACATGTTAACTGTTCAGTCTAGGGGGACCTCCATTGTGTCATTCTCCTTGTGTCTATTCTGTTATATTTAAACTTTTCCTGAGGGTGGGGGCAGCCTGGTTCGCAGAGTCGGGGAGGTCATCGGCCGAGATATTCCTGAGGAAGTGTGGGAAGTTATGATCTAACCCTAATCATAAAGAAAGTGTGGGAAGTTCTCCCCACCAAAACCCACCTCTCAGGAGCCCTCTTGGACCCCTTGAACCAACACCGCACCAATTTATCCTTTTCTATACTTCTGTTTCCCCCTCAGCTGTCTTGGGGGTTGTACCATAGTTTTCTGACAGCTCTCAAAAGTAGCCATTTAAAGGCTACTTAGAATTCAGATTGCTTGTATCACTGTAATACAAATCACCAGGATTCTGTCTTGATTTTCACCTGAACTTTCATAGTTTGCCATTGCTCCTTCACTGGGGCTGCTTCGTTTGATGGCGTTCCTGTATTTGTCCAGAATGTCCTCAGCAACCTGAGCTTGTGCACTGAGTCTAGGGCTGGGGTCATCTGTGGGGAAAGGAGAGGGAGAGAGTTAGCCCCCCCGGCTCGCGATGATTCTGATGTTAGTACGACACCAGTAGTATAATCCCAAAGGCGGATTAGGAGGTGAGACTTAAAAAGAGCACATATCTCAGTGTTAAGAGGCACCATGCAGCTGCCTACTCAGCCCGCTTCTAGGCCCGAGAGCCTTGCCAAAGCACGACATTGGGGGGATTAGCTCTACTTTCTCATCATCGCCAGAATTCTGCATGACAGTATCAAAAAGTTCAGTGCAGACTGAATGGATGATGGGTTTCTAGAGTGTTTGCACACTCCAATCACTGTTATGAGCAATTCATGCTAACAGAACCTCCAACAATGCATTTTTCTATGCAGACTTCATTTACTGAGACAGCTCCATGCTGGAGGGGAAAAAGTATTCAAACTTAGAATTAAACTCTTTTAACAGCAGTAAAAAATGCCTTTATTCAGTCTCCTTCATGAATTTCTCTCTCTACACCACATGCTGAAAAGTTCAGATGCTCAAGTTCTATCTCACTAAATGTGACCACAACAGTGCAGCTGCTGGAAAAGAGCACGTCTGTGCCTCTGCGCCTGCGGTGGTGTCAGAGGCACGCCTACAGAATCGAGACATTGTTGGGAGTGCTGGAACTGTTCCAGGGGTACTCAGAGTAAAAGCTTATCACAACCACAGCACTGTTTACTACAGGACCACTCTTCTGTCATCTAGCCCAGGCCATCACAATGTCTTCCTAAGTGTAAGATGGCACAGTCATTCATTAACAGCTATCAAAGCAAAGAATTACTGTGGGTCTATGGGAGAAAATTAATGCAAACTCCTGAGGTAGAATTAGGCCAAGCAGGTAACTATAAAAAAATCACATCCTGGTAGAATCCCATTTTTAAAAATTCTAAATACACATGAAAATCACTGGGTGGGGTGTGTGTGTGTGTGTGTGCGCACGCTAACATTTATTGAGCACGTGTCAAGCATCAGGAACTGTGCTAAGCATCTCATCTGAATTATCTTGATAAATCCTCACAACACCCCTACAGGGAGATAACAATTGTTATCTCCCCCATTCTATAGAAGAAATCAACATATGGAGAAGTTAAATAATATACTCAGAGGCTCTTCTATGTCCATAAAAAAGATATTTAGTACTCGTGTCTCTGTAAAATTGCCATAAACTATAGAAAGGATTTCCAAAGTAATTTAATATTTCTGCTATGATGCACAATAAGACAGTTCCAATAAAATTTGGTCTTTTTCAAAATGTAAACTGATAAAAATCTTTATTATCACCAAACCTTTCTTTGGAAGGGAGGTACTTGTTTGCTATTTGTTTTGAGTGCTGCTGACAGCTCTGAAAAAGGGACAACGAAATCTGTCTAAACATAATAAAAGTCACATGTTGCTTTTAACCTTTATTTCTATAAGGCCAGTCTTAAAATTTTTACCTCATAAAAAAGAAAACAAAAAATGTTATATAAATGAAGCTGTGAGTATACTTTCATGTAAAAATATAGACATGATTTCAATATCCAAAAGCAAGAGAATGTTCACACTGCATGAAAATCATATTATCTTATAGCCAATAAAAATGATTAAGGGTCTCCCCGGTGGCGCAGTGGTTGAGCACTGGGTTGCGAAGCTGCCCGCAGCCTCTGCAGCGCTGGTTCGATCCCCGGCTGCTCCCCGGCCGCCGGGTGAGGGTCCCACATGGCGCGCAGACCTCTCCTGGTGCCCACTGCTCCCCTCAGCAGTGTACTTCGGTCCTTCAGCCTGCTCTGCTCCCCGCTCTGGCTCTGGTGAATTCTCTCACCCTCCCACACTTCTGACTGTACCCAGTGCTTGTATAAATAAATAAATAAATCTTTAAAAAAACAAACAAAAAAATGATTAAGACACAACTATGTCTAGTAGAAACTAGGAGAGGGCTGATGAAACAATGTAGTAAAAGAAGAATACAAAGTCACATACATACTCTCTAGGTCAAACATGAAAAGTCATGTTCAAATATGGAAACACAGAGAGAACATGAAAGAAGAAATAGGGTGGTGGGATTATGGACAGACTGTTAACAACTTTCAGAACATGTTTAACTGATTTAATGAAAGTTTTCCATGGGCCATTAATCAGGACTGGGTAGAAATGTGTGCACCAGTTGGGAAGCTAAATTGCTTGAATCAAATACAAAATGAAAGAGTTTATGAAAAAAAACTACTTAGCTTCTAGTCTCAGCACCAATAACCAAAAAAAAAAAAAAAAAAAAAGTACTATTCAAACATACAAGTAAAAAAGTAACTTATTTATAGCTTCTCCAAAGTTACTAATCCAACATTTTACAGATAGGACATTTCATTAAGAGTATTTCCCTTGGGAAACACAGATGGCATTCTCCACTGAGGAACATGGGAAGGATGTGTACACCTCTTGCCAAAAGGATGCCTTTCCAACTCTTCCCAATCAGACTGTGAGTTCCTGAAGGAGAGGACTCCTGTATGATTGACAAACTTCCCACAACACTTAGCACAGTGCCTGGCATGAGTCAGATGTTCAACAAGTATTTGCTGGTGGAATAAGGAAGGCTTAAATGTTGTCAGCAGGAAACCATGAGGCCATCTCCTGCTGTGCAAAACCTTTTATTCCAAGAAAGTCACCTCAAAAAACAAAGCAGAGATGAATGCTAGGGCATGGAAATGCGTCTAAATACATGGAACTTGACGGCAGAGTCTGTATTAAAATGGGATTCTACCCGCACTAGGCTGAATTCTTTGAAGGAGGATGTTCTTTTGAAACCTGTCCCATTTTTTTAGTAAAAACTTTCATTTACTTTAGGATAACATAATTTAAAACCAAAATAAGAAAAAAGAGGCGAGATTAATTTCCCCCAGGTGCTCTACATCACGGGGCACAATACAGAGCAATCAACTTTCAGGGTGGGTCATTAACACTGCCTGCTGCTCAAACTTTCCTTTTAGGGTGCTCATTCATAATGTGCCAAAAAGAAGCTGCAAAAATACAAATGCTGAATAAGGTAAGAACCCATATCCTAGTATTTTCCTTGGGTCAGAGAGCAATGTTAAATGAATCAAGCTGTAAAAAATTGGTAAAGTTCATAAATTTATGACATTGCTTGAACACTTTATCAGAAAAAAAGGAAACGATTAGGTAAAACAGAATTTCACTGTGACCCTGAATAATCAAGGACCGTAGATGTAAATAAATTTAGAATTAATTTATTAATCATCAATGTTAGAGAAAACTATTCAATCAACAACCCAGTATATGGCATGCACAGCACCAAACCGTCACCACACCTTCCTAAAAGGCACTGAGTGTCATCATCTCACTAAGGTGTCGAGCTGGAGGCTATGCCTAGATAGAGGCTCAGGATCATAAACAGAAGTTATGATAATGAGGATGATGATGGTGGTGGCGGTCTGCAGGAAGAGCACACTGAGATTCACTGTGGCCGCCAACTGGAAACCACAGCGCTATGAAGAACATACTCCCCACTGTACACACACAGACACACTCTTCTAGAAAGGCAACGCTTATGGCACCCAAGATAAGTGTTATGAAATATGTGCTCTGGGAATGAAGGAGCCAGGAAGTCCATGGATCTACAAACCTGTGAGTGTTGAGAATCTGTCAGGCCCCAGATCATCTTTGTCTTTTTCTTGTTTTTCTTTCTTTCTAAATGGTATAGGAGCTGGAAATTAAATAAAGTCAGTAGTGTGACATATAACATACTGCACTACTTGGAAGACAGCAGTCATTTTGGAGTTAACTGGTGTGCCAACATTTCTAAGTGAAAGGAGGTTGAAAAGTTTAAAAGCTAAGAAATCCAAGTGTCAACTGGTAATAGTTCTTAAAATAGCATTGAAGGTCCTTAAAGAAGCTTTGAGAATCTGCTTTGGGGTCATTGTCATAAGGAAGAATGATTTAACGGGAATCACTGGGACCAAATCAAAACCACTGCCTCTTAATCTCCCATCAAAAACAACACATTCAGAACTCTGAGCCTCATTCTCTCCTCCTCATCAAGTGGCCTGAGCATGCGTGGAGGCAGTGCTCCTCCGCTCCCGAGCACACAGTGCCGTGCAGAGGCCTTCGGAGTAGTCCCTAGCTTTAATCCTGCGTGAGCTCTCCTTTCAGGAAGAGATGCTTTTGCCAACTCAGATCTCAATATCTACTGGTGTGATGCCAGACTAGTCACAAAAAAAAGCAAACAATTTTATACAACTGCCTTCCAAAATAAGCACTCGTTAATATCTCGGTATAAACATTCTCAATGAACATAGACATAAAAAGCTTCAGTTTATCCCAGGAATGTAAAGGGTGATTTTTCATGTTTAATTACCAATAATGTTGATTTCTCCTGTCACAATTATTAGCAATACCTATGTCAAAAGTCTCAACCATGACCTGTGTGACTTCCATTTATGAAATGCTACCACTTCCTGCAAAGAATAAGCAACTGTCAATTTTTGAAGTTCTGCCTTAGCATTCATCTGTGTACAATTATTTTCTACACCCTCAGAACAGCTAAAAATTGAGGCCCAGCAAGTCTCGCAGAGAAACTCAGATACTGGCTCTCTGAAAGAGATTTGGGGGCTCTGCTTCTTGTTGCTTATATAGCATTCTAATATTTTATAAAATTACCTTTAGGCATGGCTGAAACAAAACGTTTTCTCCACCAAGGTCTGTTCCTGTCTGATTTCTCATCATCGCTATCTTTGCGTTCTTCAGTCTGTAGAAAAAGTTTGATGCTTTATTTGGAATTCAGTAGCAGGATAAATTACTATGAAAAGGATTTCAGTTAGTCTGTGAAATACAAACACCACTCCTACTTGCCCCCAAAGCAAAATTGTTGTTATTACTGTATAAGTAACTTTTGAACACGGAAGCATATTTTTCAGTACTTTCTCAAGTAGACTGTGATCTGCTTGAGGATGAATGTTATCTCATTATTGCGAGTCAACTAAAAACTTAAGACGGAACCCAGCATAAAGTAGGCACTCAAATATTTAAGGAACGAGCAAATGCCATGCACATGAAGTCTAGGGGGTAACAGAGATAGGTGCAGTAGAACCATTACAACACCAAGTGCTGTGTGCCAAGGTCTATGCAAGGGTATTTATCTCATTTAAACATCACAGCAGCCTTAGGAGATAAATACTATTTAGTCCTTTAAACACATAAGAAATACAAAGCTAAAAAGGTTACCTCCCTTTTTACTCAAAGTTACATGGTCTGAGTGTGGCACAGCTAGAACTGAAACCTAGCTCTGACCAACTTCAAAGTTCATGTTTTGAGGAACAATCATGTTGCGTTATCATTCAGACCAAATGTCACAGGGCAGAGACTGTAAATCCTTTACTTGCTATCATGAGACCTTAGACAAAGCATTTTCACCTGTTTTTCCATCTATAAACCTGAGACTAGAAAGACCTTTTCAAAGGATGTCCATGAATGGTTTAGAGAGATGAGGGCATCCGTGCCAGGGAGTTTTTAACAGTGGGGTGAGTTATCGATTATTTACAGGGGGGACTCCCCAAATAAGTACATGCATGAGGAATAATAAGCAGGAAGATTTGCTCACTACTGGAGACAGGAGTTACAAGTACAGAAAGGGAGAGTGATGATATGGACTCTGATGCTTTAAGGTTGAAATGGAATGTGCTGCTGAGAGCTTGTTTCTCTACATGTAAAGACAACATATGAATAAATACTAGTGTGAATGTGTGTACACATACTCATACACACAGTCCCTAACTCCGTAAAGTGAGAGGTCCTGGGAGCAGCAAAACCCCGACAGCAGTGGGCAGACCTTGATTTTAGAACTAAAAGAAGGAAGGTCTCCTTGGAGAAATGGCTGCTTCCAGGACTAGGCAGACTGTACAATAAAAACAAGTAACACTTCGTGCCAGAAAGCAAAGCAATATTCAAAGAATGACAGCAGCACATCAAAGGAATCCAGGAGTCAGCTTGAAGGGACTCCTTGGCTGAATGGGGGACAGCAATAAACACACTGACTAAAATAGAAAACTCTAAGACCACAGTAAGTAATGATTAGTAAGTGGATAAACTAAAAATTTAACAGGAAATGTATATATTTTCAAAGTAACCTCCCGCCACACACACAAAATATGTACTATAAAGGGGAAAAGAGTAAACTTTTTGGTAGTGAAAGAAATGTGAAGTTTAAATAAAACTAGGGGCCTCCCCGGGCGCAGCGGGTTGAGCGCCACGCTGTGAAGTTGTCCACAGCCTCTGCAGTGCAGGTTCGATTCCCAGCCAGCCAGGGAGAAACCCACATGGCACGGCAGACCTCTCCTGCCTCGCCTGCTGCTCCCCTCAGCAGTGACTTTGGTCCGTCTGCCTGTTCTGCTTCCCGCTCTGTCTCTGGTGAATTCTCTCACCCTCCCGTGCCTCTGACCTATACCCCAGCTCTTGTATAAATAAATAAATCTTTAAAATAAATAAATACATAAAACTAGACCCAAAACTGCCTGGAGAAAAGTCAAGTGTGGTAAAAATGCAAAACACACAACTGCAAAACTATAGTAGCACAAGTTTCCTACGGGTTGTAGTTGTGGATATACGAGACTGACAAATCACTTTCAATCACGATTACAGTCCTGATGAGTCCAAAACCTATATAACCCATGTTAGTCGCAGACAACGGGCAAACCAGACAGACAGAACACTAACGTGACCAAACAGCAAACTCCTCTACCCGGTGCACGTCCATACCTCTCCTCTCGAGGAGTCCTTACTCGGGGACGAAGATGATGAATGTGGTGCAGCCACCAAAGAAGTAGCACCAATGGCTGCTGCTGGAGGAAGTTCTCGCTCTTCATTCCCTGGACGCCGGTTCCAGCTGGGATCGCTCATGGGGCGCCGGACAGACGACACGATGTCAGAACTCCTGCTGCGAACTAATCTCTCAGGGTAAGAATGCCTCTGCTTGAATGCCTCCATTTCAGCTGGGGTTAAAACATGGGAACCAAAGTTTGGCAGTCGGGCTTCATTTCCTCCCACGGCTCCTTCCAGGATAGGGGGGTCCGGCGGTGGATGTGACGGCCTCGCATAGTGAACCTTGGGCCTTACCACAGCAGAAGCCGCTGGAACACAGGGGAAAAAGTTTGCTATTGAGACATAAGCAATCTACTAAAGGCAGTAACAAGGGGTTTTGATTTTGTTCTTCTGTGTGTAAGACAAGAGTCCAAAAGTTCATCCGACTAGTTTACCTTCATGTGAAGACAGCGGGTCAAACAAGGCAAGCAGAGATTCTGACTGAGAAGGAGGAGAAGTCAGCTGGTGGGCACCTAAGACAGACAGACAGACAGTGAGGACAACTTAGAACTCATGACTCTGTGAGTGTCCACATTGTGAAACAAGTCTGAGCATTTTTCCACAATTTTCCATTTTTGATAAACTAAGAGGAGTATCAGGAAAAAAATCTATTAAGTTTCAAATTCTGATTACTACGCATTTGCTTGTTTTTATTGACATACACAGATTTTAATTAACTTAAGTGGTCTAGCATCCACATGCCTATTACATGCCTACCCACTTGCCAATACAGTTAATGCAAAGAGCACTGAGTCCGAAGATGTAAGCCATCAAAATTTTCAGAATGTCACAATTTCCCTGAGCCTTACCTTCCTCCACCTATAAAAATAGGGCACTAATACCTACAAAAAGAATATTAACAAAGTGTGATGAGGGGCCTCCCTGGTGGCGCAAGGGGTTCAAACACAGCACTATGAGGCTACCCGCAGCCACTGAAGCAGGAGTTCGATCCGTAGGAAGGGGGCTGACCCACGTGGCGAGGCGGCTCTCTTTTGTCTCGCCCACTGCTTCCCCTCAGCAGTGTGTTTCAGTCAGTCTACCTATTCTATTCCCCATTTTGTCTCTAGTGAGTCCTCTCACCCCACCTCCCTGGTACCGCTAGCCTGTACCCCAGTTCTTGTATGCATAAATAAATAAATCTTTAAAAAAAAGTGTGATGAAATATGAAATATGATACAGCTCTCAGTAAATGACAATTTATAAAAGAAATCATATTAAAATGAGTAATTTTCCATTACAACATGAAACAAATTCAAACTTCTAAAGTATGCCATTTTAAGCAACAGTAAAAGATGACTCCTCTAAGCATATGCCTAACAACCAAAATCAAAAATATTAAAATAGACAGGTGTGCAGAGGCTAAAATATTCAACTATATAAAAGAAATTGTTATTCTAAACTTGAGTCTGAGCTATCTTTTTTGCAAATGCATGACAGCATTATTTCATTTTTCCTTTTGTTCTTTATTTTATGGTTACCTCTCCTTTTAAAAATTATAGAAACAGTGTATCATTATGAAAAATAGTTTAGGAAATCAATTCTTAAAACTCTGGTCTTAGGAAACATTTACATTCTTAAAAATTACTATCTCTAAGAGCTTTTGTTTATGTGGACTATAACTATTGGAATTTACCTTACTAGAAATTAAAATTGAAAATAATAAAGTATTCATATACTAATTCATTTAAACATACATATTAAGTGGTAACATAATCCTCTTTGATGAAAAATAACTATTTTCAGGCCTCCCTGGTGGCCTAGAGGTTGAGTCTCAGCACTATCATCTCTATGCCCTGAGTTCGATTCCCAACCAGGGAGGTACCCACATGGCGCGGCAGACCTCTCCTGTCTCCCCTGCTGCTCTCCTCAGCAGGGTAGTTCAGTAAATCTGCCTGTTCTGCTCCCCACTCTGTCTCTGGTGAATCCTCTCACCCCCCACAACTCTGGCCTACACCCAGGTCTATGCTAAGTAAATAAATAAATGTAATGTTTAAGAAAAAAGACACCACTGCTAGCATTTGGTCATTCCAATTCCTTCTATATGATAGGCTTTTTATGACAGGTTTTATAAGCTTATATATAAAATTCTTTAAATTTTTCAAGTGATATTATGCTTCAGATATTTCATATTCTTTAAAGCATTTGAAAAATAACCACAGAAACGCTAATTAATGCTTATATCAAAATTCACTTAGCCATTCTATTTTTTTTATTCTTTTTTTATTTTTTATTTTTCCAAAGAGTTATTTATTTATTTATACGAGCACTGGGTACAGTTAGAAGCGCGGGAGGGTGAGAGAACTCACCAGAGCCAGAGCAGGGAGCAGAGCAGGCAGACCGACGAAGTACACTGCTGAGGGGAGCAGCAGGCGGCAGGAGAGGTCTGCATGCCATGTGGGATCCTCGCCCGGTGGCTGGGGATTGAACTGGCGCTGCAGAGGCTGAGGGCAGCTTCGCAACCCTGTGCTCAACCGCTGCGCCACCAGGGAGGCCCTATTTTTTGATTCTTAAGCTGCTTCTAATTATCTGCCAATATGAGCATTATAAAGAACATCTTTCTGCATAAAACTTCCTCCATCCTGGAACTGTCTCCTTTTGACTACTTCCTAAAGCACACTTAAGTGGACCAAATCTAGTGTGCATATTTTATTTCATTTTTTTAAAGATTTATTTATTTATACAAGCACTGGGTACAGTCAGAAGCGCGGGAGGGTGAAAATTCACCAGAGCCAGAGCAGGGAGCAGAGCAGGCAGAAGGACCGAAGTACACTGCTGAGGGGAGCAGCAGGCAGCAGGAGAGGTCTGCGCGCCATGTGGGACCCATGCCGGCGGCTGGGGATCGAACCGGCGCTGCAGAAGCTGCGGGCAACTTCGCAATCCAGCACTCAACCGCTACGCCACCGGGGAGGCCCTAGTGTGCATATTTTAATACCTTAATTACTTTTTCCCAAATTATGCTCCAAGTGCTATATGGTATCACCAGCAATGTGTAAGACTGCCTGTTTCACCCTCAGATGTGGCTGTTTTTAAGTCACTCTCATCTCCCCTTCTTACCATGAGTTACTTCATCCATGTCTGGACTAGTGACAGAATCTTTGCCCCCAAAATCAGAGCTGCACTCAGATCTCAGGTCCTCTATCTTATTGGGAATATCCTCAGAGGTTGCACTTATGCCTTAAAAGAAAGGATTAGTAAAAAAATAAACAGCAAGAAGAACAAAAGAACCACACAAAAAGTATATGAAGTTGGGAGAAATATAAATATTCTCAAAAATTTTATGTCCAGTTCTATACATGTGAGTTCTATACATGTAAGGTATTTCGTATTATACCTTTATTGTACTACTGCTTAGATATGTTCACCTTGATTGATACAACATAATCAGAATTATCATGTGGTATTTAAATAAGAGTAGCACAGGCTACCCAGAACAGAGAGTTACAGAGGGAACACACATAGACTGTCAATTACTTTAGCAGGCTCCATAAAGCCACACATTATGTTCTCACAGATTTAAAGTCCTCTAGAAATAATTGTGTTTCCTGGAAATGACTTAGCCTTACATAAAACATATCTCTTAGTTATCAGCTTTATAAACAAGGTGGTAGGGACACACCTTCAAATCCTTATTCTTTAAAACAAGACAGACATACCCGACACAACACTGAGGCCTGGTGTGCTGGGGCGGGAACTGACCTCCCTGACATCCGTATCATCAGATGTGCTGCCCAGTCCAGAACAGCTCTCCAGCTCCTGCAGGCGCTCCTCCTGCTTTAGATCTGGGGCCTCTAAACACAAGACATAAGGTCCCATCAGTGATCCTATTAGCACAGCACAATTTCAGTTTCTTTGCGGCCCAGATGAAGAAAGCTACCAGTGCCTGAATGAAATCAGTATAAATAGATTTCTGAGTCTAGGTCAGCTAGCAAAGTTGAAGATGTGTTAAAGAAGTCAATCTTGTGATTGTCACCCAATCTCGGCCTGCTCATTGTGCACACATAAACTCTGCTCCCAGCCCACTAATCTCAGGGTATGCCGTTGACTAAAATGTCAAGTGAAGGAGAGTATGAAGTAGCTTAGCATTAAATCAACCACCTTCTGAAAACTAACTCATATGCACACTCAGCAGATTGGGAGCTAGTCCTACTGTTTCCTTTTGTAAATATTAGCAAGTCTGAATGCTTTGACATTATAAAACTTATCAGGATCATATAATTATCATTTACACATATCAGACAGAATTTAACTCAGACATAGTTACTTCTATCTCATTCTGTAGTTGACATTTACTTGAAGGCTAAGATTTATTATATAACCAGGTAAAAAAGCAGAAATGGAATACATAGGAGAAAGTACAAAACACTTTGCATACATTTATAATAATCCTGCACGAAGTAATTTTCTAGACTCCAGAGTCTCAATTTCACTGTATTTCAAAATACACTAGATATCTTTTAAAGGGTCAAGTTCTCCCCTGGGACAAATCTAAATGTGTTTCACCAGGCATCTAACCATTCAGAGATTGAGTTGTGAAGCTACCCCTAGTCTGACGAGTTACTGGAAGACAGTGAACTCGGTGTCTCACTCAGACGCCTGATGAGTTACTAACATGTGTGTCCAAAATAACTGAACACAGAGCCTGGCAGCACCTGCCACCTTAGCCTATGCCATTTTCCCTTAATGGAAAGAAAATGTACTAAACTAATTGTTCATTTGAAATCCTCAGCAATATGATTGCCTCATAGTTGCTGAATGTCTATTGGACAAGCTGTGTACACTACAGAAATAGGATACTTTACACATTTAAAAAGCAGAAGTCAACAGCACACTCACCCGAGTCGCTTGGCAATACCTCCACACTCCAAGCTTCGCTTGTTGTCTCTGATATGGTAGAGCCAGTGCAGGGGTCAAGAAGCACTGACCCTGAGCCTGGCAGGCACAGCAAACTGCCTAACATGTTCTCTGCTGCTGCACCTGTGTGGCCAGTGGGGAGGGGAGCAAAGGGTTACCAAAGGCCCTATGGAAAGAGTGGTGATAATGAAAAAAGCCAAACACTAAGATAATAAAATCTTCTCTACACTACCCACAAGAAGGAAGCCAAGCAAGAGTAAATTCAATCTGTAACACCACCACAAGCACAAATTCCCGCTTTGGTCACAATGACATAAGCTTCTCTTCATCTGTTTCCTCCTATTCACCTTGGACTTTGCACAGAGAAAACACTCATCAAGCCATTTCAATTAGCTTTCACCAGGGCTTTTTCCATCAAATTTTATGTGTGTCCCTGAGAGCTTTCTACAGTTTATAGTTGCACAGAAATTTAAACAGTCAGAGAGATTTAACCACAGAAAATTTTACTACTCAAATATTTTTCTTCTGGCATATTAGCCACATATTCAGAGCAATAAAATATATTTGCAGGAAAATACGCTTCTCTTCTACAGCACTCAGTCAACTGCAAAGGTAGCTTATTGTTTGCATACGGCTTACTGTTAGGAAAAATACTACTATGGCATCTAGAACAAATTTAAAAGCAGCTAAAAAATCTACTATTTAAAATACAAGAAAAGAATTAAACATTATTGTACACGTGTGTCAAACATACTCAAGTTGAGAATCCTTCACTATTTCTGATTAAGCCTAACAAAAGAACAATTCTAAAAAACTTTTGGAAAAAAGTAACTGGTGAAAGTTATTTTAAAGATATATCATAAAATAATTACAAATAATGTCTGGAACTTGCCTAAACATAAAAGGAGGTAATTAAAGGGTAGTGGGTGAGACAGATATGAGACAATTCATATGCTAAGTATAACTGCTGAACCTGAGTGATGGGTACACACAGCTCATCATATCAGTCTCTCCTGTATTTTGTTTGAAATGTCCCATGATTTAAAGAAAACGAAAACAAGCATTATGAGACTGCATGAATCTTTCAGAACTCATAGACTAGTACCCTAAAAAAGGGAGAATTTTAATGTATATTAATTATACCTCAAACTTGAGGTAAAAAAAAACTGTTCTTTGGAAGTGGACTAATTAAGTAGTCCTTCCCGATGTAAATTCAATTTTTAGAGAATCTCAGAATAAAATTATTCCAAAGGATTTTATGGCTCTAATCTATAAGAATTTTCATGCTAATATAAGGTCTTTAGTCACAAAAGAAGAATATGCTAATTATAGATTAAGAACACATACTAGGTCTGCAAATAAGACTTAAGCTAATTCAAAAGACAGTTGGTTTTTTGGTTTTTTTTTTTGGAGGGGGAGAATAGGGGGCTTAAATGTGGACATGGAAAACATTATATTTTAAATAAAGAAAAAAATACACAAATGCCTTGTTATATACAATTATCTCAGTGTCCTGGTAGCGCCAATATTCACACAACTGAAGTTCCCTCTCATAAAGGGCGGGTGAATAGCAGAATTTTGTGGAGATATTAAATAGCAGTTACCTGCAATTTCTTGTAATCTATCTTCATCAATGTTAGGGTCAAAATCACTTCCCAAGACATCTGTACTCCAGGTCTCGCTCACTGTTTCTGATATATCCCGATCATCAGTCAGTCCCATCATGTCACGAATTTCAAACTTCCTTAGCTTATCATCAAGATTATCTTGTGTTGTAGCTATCAAAAACAAAATTAAGCATGGAAAAATGTCAGCACAGCTATGATTGCTAAATCAAGTTAAAGAAGTTTTATGTATTTGAACTTCAAGTTACATTTTTTATCATTTAACACTGAGACCCCAGTTTCAAAACAGTGAATTATTTCCTCAGGGATGTACACTTTCCCCCTCCAAGCTGAGAGCAGCAGAGATATACTTCCCCTTCTGCTAGCTTAACTGCGGCCATCACTGCAATCCACTGTCACCCTGTATCCACATCTTCTGCAGTGTGACTCTGATCGGGAATTGGGATACATTTTTCCTTCTCTCTGGATTTGCACGGACCATGTCACTTTCCTTGCTCAACAAGGAGTAACTGTGCCGGTTATGAAGCTAGGTGTCAAGGGACCTTATAAACTTCTGCCCTCTCTCACCTTGGTTTACGTGAGAACAAGCTTTGGTCAGCCACTGGAGGACGAGAGATGACCCAGATCAAGTAAGGGTCACCCTCAATCAGCCAGCTTCCCACTGACCCACAGACCCCTGGCTAAGATTAGCAAAGCTGGGGCCTCCCTGGTGGCGCAGTCGGTTGAGCGCAGCGCTGTGAAGCTGTCCGCAGCCTTTGCAGTGCCGGTTCGATCCCCAGCAGCCTTGGAGCAACCCACATGGCGCGGCAGACCTCTCCTGTCTCACCCGCTGCTCCCCTCAGCAGTGTATTTCTGTCATCTGCCTGTTCTATTCCCCGCTTTGTCTCTGATGAATCCTCTCACCCTCCCACACATCTGGCCTGTACCCCGGTTCTTGTATAAATAAAAAATAAATCTTAAAAAAAAAAAAAAAAGATTAGCAAAGCTCCCTCCGCAACCACAGGTAACTGCAGATGCACAAGTGAGCCCATTCTGAATCCAAAGAACTACCCAGCTGACCCACACACCTGAGAGTAAAACCAGGTATTTGTTTTAAGTCACCAAGTTTTCAAGTGATTTGTTAATAGCATTACTGTGATAATAATTAACTGATCCATCCACACAAAAAAATTTTTCACTCGACCTGGATACATCCCAATTCTAGTTTTTTTTCTTTTTTCTTGACCACTGAGAGTAACCCATAATCTATCTCAAATCCCACCTTAACCTAGCTTCTGTAGTGCAAACTGCCAGCCACGCACATCAGAATCATTTAGAGGGCTGGTTAAACTTCTGTTTAAGCTGGCATTATTTTAGATTTCTGGGCAATTTGTAGAAAATGTAATCCTAATTAATACAATGATAAACCAGTTGAGTAAAATACAATATTGCTATTTAAATCACACATACCCCCCGACTGGCAATATTCACTTTTATTTTATAAAAACAGACTGAGCAAGGATTTTCTAGAAATGAGACAGGGAAATGGCTTTTTTTTTTTTAAATCCCCAGGTAATTCTTAAGCACATTGAAGTCTAAGAATCATTGCTTCAGACCCAGTTGAGCACAACTGCCCTCAACACTCCTTTACAGGCCACCGCTGATCCTTAAATGCAGCAATCCAAACAACTTTTTCAAATTAATCTTCTTATAGCACATCAGGGTCCATCTATCTTTTTTTGTGTGTGTGGGTCACTCGCCGGTGGCCTGGGATCAAACTGGCGCCGCAGAGGCTGCGGGCAGCCTCGCAACCCAGCGCTCAACCACGCGCCACCAGGGGAGGCCCCATCTATCTTTTAACCATTATCTCACCCTCCTCCCCTACTTGGTAACTCCTCACTAGATGCTACGCTACCTCTCTGACTGGCTTATTCTCTTTATCTACAAGGACACAGCTCCAGTTTCTGCCAATACAAAGACTACAATTTTCATCCAACAAGCTTTTCCTTAAACTTCCAACCACATGTATCTCACTGGGAACTGCCCAAGCACTTTTATGATACTTTTAATAATTTGTGTACCATTTGTGTCTAAGTTATTTGAATCTTTAGTGTTTATCATTGTATCCCTTTAAAAAATAAATGTTACAGAACTGAAGTAACAAATATAACACAATTCAAGCAATTCATAGTAATTATTTTATGTAATTTAAGCCTAATTAACTCACTTACCAACTAAATTACATTTTTAGGAATTGATGAAACTACAAATAAATGCAAGTTTAATGGTCACTAGTCAGTCAAATTTATTCTCTTATTGAACACAGTCAACTTACATATAAACACACTGTTTGGGTCGCAACCAGCTAAATTCTTTACTACTTGAGCAACTGTGCACTCTCACTTTACCTTGCTCATGCTCTAACAGCTGTAGAGCTTCAACCCCATTGCTCCCAGAAGGTCCTGCTCCAAGTTCTGATACAGACTCTCCTTCCAGGTCTAGCGAGGATACTGAGTTGGATCGATTGGAAGGACCTAAAGAAATGTTTATAATGTAGTGATATTTTAAAAATATTCATGAACCACCATGCAATTGTTCATGCCTTGATAAGAGACTAAAGGTTGATTCAAGTGTCTTTAACATTGCATTGATACATTAAAAATATACATGCCCCTCAAGCCAGCATGTCTGCTTCTAGAAATTTATTGTAAGGAACTATAATCTAAAATTCATCTAAGATTGTCTATTGCAGGGATCCTTATAGCATATGAAAACTAGAAGCAATCTACATGTTTAATCATAGAAGTTTAAATAAATTATGATATACCCATTTAAGTAAAAAAAAGTCATTAAAAGCCATGTTATTTAAGGGCCTCCCTGGTGGTGCAAGACACAACCTATGAAGCTCTCTGCAACCACTGCACCACGAGTTCAATCCCCAGCCAGGGAGCTACCCACATGGTGCAGCAGACCTCTCCTGACTCGCCTGCTGCTCCCCTCAGCAGTGTACTTCAGTCATTCTGCCTGTTCTGTTCCCCACTCTGTCTCTGGTGAGCCCTCTCACCCCACCACACCTCTGGCCTGTACCCCAATTCTTGTATACATAAATAAATAAATCTTTAAAAAAAAACATGTTATTTAAGAATATTAGGGATTGTAAAACAGTACAAACCTAATTTTGCTATAAATAGACCAAAATGTTAACTTATTATTAGAATGGTGAGATTACAGATGATTTGGTTCTTTTCTGGATTTTCTACAATGACTATACTTTTATTATCATTCAGAAAAGTTAGAGAAAAAGAAAACATTGTGTTTTATGTTTATTTTAAAATGTTAGTAAATTTGAACTATTTTCATTAAAACTGTTTGTCCTGGTAAGAGCAGAATGACATATTCTCACTTCACAACTTTGGCTCATTATTTTCTTTGTTATTCCTGTTTCCACTCTATCTTTCCAGCTCAGAAAGGTGTGTGTGAATGTGTGAATAAAGAATACAGAACATGAAAAGTATGCATGACACCCTGAGTTCCCAGTGAGTCCATTTTTTCCATGTAGACATGCACCACATCCCTCTAAAGGAGCTCCAGAATGTTGGCATATATTAATTCTAGAGAAGCAAAACTTGGTATTATTCTACTTATGTCTCAATGAAGACCATGTCCTCTCCATTTTATACAACCAAAGGTCTCTTGCAATCTTAATTTTATACAAGAAACAATCTTTATAGCCAACTGTTCAAGATTATTAGAGGGAAATGTCATTATTCTCCTCAGTGAGAGGCACAGATGGTATAATTATAGTTTATAAGGCTCCTTTAAAGAACACAAAACAAAATATTACTCGAATAACACAATTCCTTGAATGAAGCAACCCTTCACCTTCAGATATTCCTTCCAGATTATCACTGCAGAGGGAAAAGCGCAAGGTTTTATCAGGTTTACCGTGGAGTTTGTTTTCATCGACTGGGACATCTCCTTGTCCTCCATCCGAAAGTTGCATATTTAGGATCTGAAAAATAAAAAGTCACTCACTTTTCACAACTGAAATATTACTGATAAGAAAAAAAACCACAGCAAATGTATTTTTAAGTTCTTCTTAATCTTAATTATTTTTTAAAAGATTTATTTATTTATGCATACAAGAACTGGGGTGTAGGCCAGAGGTGCAGGGGGTGAGAGGATTCACCAGAGCCAGAGTGGGGAACAGAATAGGCGGATCTATTGAAATACACTGCTGAGGGGAGATAACTGCTGCACCATGTGGGTCAGCTCCCTGACTGGGGATTGAACTCAGGCCCTAGTGGTGACAGCACTGAGACTTAATCCCTATGCCACCAGGGGGAGGCCCCTTAAATTATTATTTTTAACTAAAAACCCATTACTAAGGGGCCTTTCCCTGGTGGCCCAGCAGTTGAGCGCTGGGCTGCGAAGCTGCCCGCAGCCTCTGCAGCGCCGGTTCGATCCCCGGCCGCCAGGCGAGGGTCCCACATGGCACGCAGACCTCTCCTGCCACACCCGCTGCTCCCCTCAGCAGTGTACTTCATCAGTCTGCCTGTTCTGCTCCCCGCTCTGGCTCTGGTGAATTCTCTCACCCTCCCACACTTCTGACTGTACCCAGTGCTTATATAAATAAATTTTAAAAATAAAATAAAATAAAACCCATTAATAAGACTCTGAACAAGCTTTTAACTACTCCAGAAACAAAAGCATTATCAGTTTAAAAAAACTGAACCTGTGTCTTTCCATCACCCTACAGGTGGCAAAAGACTGAACAGGCAATCAGACACTGGATGCCAGTGGTTAGGGCTGTACGAATCAGAAGGCTTGGCGTCAGTGGGGCAAGTCCTTCTGGTTCTGCCTTGTGCCAATTACATAAACCTGGATAAATTGTTTAAGCTGCGTCTCAGCTTCTTCATCTATAAACTGGTGATAGTAACAATACATATGCCTCAGAGTTGCTGAGGATTGAATAAAAGACGCACATAAAGCACTTAGTATGGTACAACGACATATTAAATTTGCAGCACGTTATTTTCAAAAGTTACTAATTCAAACAAGAGGAAAAACATGTACACAAATCATCTTAGTCATTAAATGAGTCTGCTCTGAACCTCCTCTCCATCACCACGTACACAGTCACAAAAATTTATACCAGAAGTTGAAGTGTGACTTCACAGCTATATCCAGTCTAGAGCTGACAACATTTTTTAAATTTTTTCTATTTCTTAGATAATTTCCATGTAACATAATTACTTCTCATTGCCCATGGGCCTCATAACTCAGCTTTGTGTGTGTATCTCCAACTTAATGAAAAACTGAGTGCTTTGTTGGAAGTCACACAAAATGTTTTAAGCTCACTTAGAACTTGGACTTACAGCTGTTGGTTTTCAAGGCCTTTGCTGGAATATCAAAGGAAGAATAGTATCCTTACATAAAAAAGAAAAAACCCTTTAGGCACTGCTTTGGCCCTTCATTTACATGAGTAAACTGAAGGTTTTTTTTTTTTTTAAAGATTTATTTATTTATACAAGAACCGGGGTACAGGCCAGATGTGCAGGAGGGTGAGAGGACTCACCAGAGACAGTGGGTATCAGAACAGGCAGACTGACGAAATACACTGCTGAGGGGAGCAGTGGGAGAGACAGGAGAGGTCTGCTGTACCATGTGGGTTTCTCCCCAGCCGGCTGGGATCGAACCCGCACTACAGAGGTTGCGGACAGCTTCACAGTGAGGTGCCCAACTGCCTGTACCACCAGGGAGGTCCTGAGGTTTTTTTAATAGCTCTCTATAATTATACATGTGATGCTTATGAATCAGTTAAAAATAGATGTTTTCCCTATTTTGTTTTTCTTTTTGTTTTTTTAAGATTTATTTATTTATTTTACACAAGAACCAGGATACAGGCCAGATAAGCGGGAGAGTGAGAGGATTCACCAGAGACAGAGCGGGGAACAGAACAGGCAGACGGACAAAATACACTGCTGAGGAGAGCAGAGGGCGAGGCAGGAGAAGTCTGCTGCACCATGTGGGACCCTCGCCGGCCGGTAGGGATCGAACCAGTGCTGCAGAGGCTGAGGACAGCTTCATAGCACGGCACTCAACTGCCTGTGCCACCAGGGGAGGCCCATTTTTCCCTATATTGTTTTACAGTAAAAGGCAGATATAGGGCCTCCCCGGTGGCGCAGCGGTTGAGCGCTGGGTTGCGAAGCTGCCCGCGGCCTCTGCGGCGCCGGTTCAATCCCCGGCTGCTCCCCGGCCACCAGAGGAGGATCCCACATGGTGCGCAGACCCCTCCTGCCACCCGCTGCTCCCCTCAGCAGTGTACTTCAGTCCTTCTGCCTGCTCTGCTCCCCACTCTGGCTCTGGTGAATTCTCTCACCCTCCCGCGCTTCTGACTGTACCCAGTGCATGTATAAACAAAACAAACAAACAAATATAATAAATAAATAAATAAACATGCCTCTATTTAAAAAAAAAAAAAGGCAGATATAGAAATTCTTTATTTTATATTTTTAAGGTAACTTGGACCTTTAAATTCATCATAGTGAGCAAAGTGCAACAAATCTTCAGGAAAAATCCACGTAAAGGCCTAAGAATGGTATGAATTAACAGAAAACAAAAGGATCATAACACAATGAAGATTTCCCCAAATTATATCTAAGAGCAGGCAATTTTGTGATCTTACAAAGAAGACTATCTTACTTCTAAACCAGAAAGTCTGTAAACTCTAGGATAGACTAAAATCACAGAATTTTAGAGTTGAAAGAATTTTGAGTTTCTTTAGCCCAGTGATTCTTCAATGGGCACTGAAATCCTTCCAGGGGCCTTTTGGGAGTAAATGGGAGGAATATGGGTTGTTACAATGATTGGCTAATTCTACTGACATTAGTTACAAGAGGATGGCATAAAAAATTAAAAAAAAAACCGAGCATCCCTGGTGATCTAGTGGTTAAGTCTCAGCACTTCTACCATATCAGCCTGGCCGACCACAACGTCCTGAGTTCAATCCCCGGCCAGGGAGGTGACCCAAATGGCACAGCAGACCTCTCCTGTTTTGCCCACTGCTCCCCTTAGCAGTGTATTTTTGTGAATCCACCTGTTCTGCTCCCCATTCTGTCTCTGGTGAATTCTCTCACTCCCCCACCCATGCACCTCTGGCCTACACCCCAGTTCTATGCAAAAATACATAAATAAAATCTTTAAAACAAATAAAATTTTTAAAAAAAGTTCTACAATACATGGACCAACCCTCCAAAATGAAGTTCTCTTATCCATAATTCCAACATCACCTCCACTGAGAAACTATGATCTAGTCCAATCCCTTATCCAAATGAAAAATCATATCTAAGCATAACAAAAACATGTGTCTATTAGGCCTCTGCTTCTACAATAGCAGTGATGGTGAAACCACCATGACAAAGAAGACTACAGCAGAAAAGTTGTCCCACTTAGTCTGTGTTCCCAGCACCTACGCAGTCTGGCCTGAAACAGGCATTCTGGTATCACAGAGGCTAAATCTAATTCCTCTACACATGAAAGCCTTTCCTGTATTTCAAGATAACTTAAATTGAATCATAGGAAAACAAAGACATGCACAGATAAGAGTTAAGAGTTCCTCTTTCCTTTGCCTCTATCCCAAGTTCTTTACAATTATCTTTAAACTGATTATAATACCTCCCAATTCTATTTCTTCAAAATACTTCAGTTTTCTTTTCAGTAAGCTCTTCTGTTTCTTCTTAATCAGTCAAAAAATAGAAGGTATTTCTAAAGAATATTTGATACTTTAAAGCAGGAATATCATTAGAAAGAAATAAACAGGGCCTCCCTGGTGGCGCAAGGGGTTAAGATGCAACCTATGAAGCTATCCGCAACCACTGCAGCACAAGTTTGATCCCCAGTCAGGGAGCAACCCACATGGTGCAGCAGATCTCTCCTGACTCACCTGCTGCTCCTCTCAACTGTGTACTTTGGTCAATGTGCCTGTTCTGCTCCCCATTCTGTCTCTGGTGAATCCTCTCACCCCCCATACCTCTGGCCTATACCCCAGTTCTTGTATGAATAAATAAATCTTAAAAAAAATAAATAAACTTAAAACATTTCCTATTGGTCACTGGAAAAGACTCTTCCATTTCCATACCACACAACACTGGCTTTCTGTGTCAACTACTACTAGGAAACTCCTTTTGGTGTGGACTCGACAGCAATTTCAGGGTCATAGATATATTAATGCGAAGTCACTAAAGAGCTGTTCACAGGAGTTTACATTTAGTAGTGTGTCATGGTAGGCTCAACAAGGATAAAAACAGTCATTAAACATTGGTGATTGTAGTGAAATGTAACAACACAATCCTACCTCATTTTCTGACATCATCCCTGGAGTAAGCTGGGGACCTGTCCCTAAAGAAATGACCAATACTTCTTCTGGCTGCACTTCCTGGATGGTTTCTTGAGATGATCCTTCATGGTCCATATGTAAGTCCATTAACACATTGGTGCGACTTCTGCTTCGAGGTGCTAATAAAAAAAATTCAAGTAAGATAATTTAGAAAAAAGACAAAATGAAAAAAATAGTACACTGAATTAAAAAAAATATATTCTATGAATGTAGAACATTTGGCGCATGCACAAAAAAAATGGTGAAAAAAATGGATAAGGAAACTCTAGATCTTCCCAGTTATTCTACTGATGACTAATACAGATTCTCCTTCCAAACTGAGAGGAAATAACAATCCATGTTTACCTGATGGAGAGTGACACAGATGACTGCATTTGCAGAACAGCAAACATATCCCAATCAACTTAAGACTTGGGGTGATAAGAAAAGTACTACCCTATTATCTTTTCAAGATACCTTCAACTATTTCTCCTATAAAATGATTTAAATATCAAATATCTCCATACTACTAGTTGAAAATTTCAAATTGAAATCATCTTTCTTTTCAAAGAAACAGGAGAGATTTTCTTATGTTTGAATATGAGTTTCCTTTCTGCTTTATGGAAGCATCCTAAATGAATAAAGGATCTAATAAGGGGTATTTTGTTCCTACCTACAAGCAAACAAGTAATACTATTTTCTTAATCCATCCTATAAACCATTCAAGAGTATCTGTACATGGAAAACTTTAGTTTGTGACAATTTATAAGTTTTAATCTTCTGTGGTAAGTTTCAACTTTCTTTCAGAAAGCAATGAAATTCAATGCAACCAGAATACTTAAATAGAAATTGTTTTTTGGTGCAAAATAATCAAAACTACGAACATAAAACACAACATTCTATAGCACAAATAGCTTTCAACTTCACTTTGAGTGAAAGTTAACCTTCTTGAAGACAGAAATATAACCAATCATATTTGATCACAGTGCCATAGATCTGGTCATTAATCACTTTTACTTCCAAAATTCAGAGTGCACAGCAACTTCCAAAAGTCTAAAACAGGTCTACTTAAACCTTTAGTTGAAAAATTTTACATGTTCTTTCCTCTCTATCTTCTACTGAATTGTGAACTTAAACCCAACTTCATGAATAGTACCATGAGTCTCAAGTAATAAACTTCAAAATTCATGAAAATGTGAGTAACCAAATTCATGTAGCAATTTACATAAAGCAAAAGCAACATGCACATGGAGCACACTTTTATGATCTATTTCTTAAATAAAAGTTAGATAAAAAGAAGAACAGCCTATTACCCACCAAATGGGGTTACTAGAGTAATATGAGCAGTAAGATTGGTGGCTGAGGAATCCCAGGCAGTGATGGCTGCTAACTGTTGTCCTGGGTTGCAAAAGCAATAAACAGAAAGAAATCAACCCTTTGAAAAATGGACATATTTTAAAAAATATATAATAAATGCAATGACCAGTTCACATGATTATATAAAATAATACTGGGCAAACATTTGAAATTTACTTTCTATTAGATACATATTTAATAATACCTTTAGAGGACAAGAAATGTAGGGGTGAATAATGGAGAAAAAAATCTATTTACCAGAAGCCATCTATTTCTCTACATTAACAAAGTGAAAGAGTCTATAAGATTAAAAATCACTGTGTAAAATGTTTTTATATTCTGAAAATTGATATTCTGGAATGATGACAGTCACAGTCTTGAGGAATATGATGCCACATTCCTGTTAAATGATTTAATTCCAAATTGCTTTAAATATAAGGTATATTAACTTTAAGAAACTGACCATTCTTAACAAATCAGCTCATGGAAGTTCAAAGTATGAAATCCTATCCTTCAACATGTGTAAAATACAGTACTATTTATGTTCACTAACTGTTGCTGAGCTCCTCCTTATAATCATTAAAATATTGACACTAAAATACTCTGTTCTCTTGGTCTGAACACTCGTTTTCTAGCTCACCTTGTCTAACCACCATTTATCCTTCAAAAGAAAGTACCAAGAGCACTTGTTCCAAGATCCTCTGCTAAACCACCAACCAGCTAAGTTAGGTGTCCCCACAACCCTCAACTGTTTGTCTCCATCAGACGCTTAGTATGCTGTAGAATACTGGCCTCTTCTTGTTCTCCCCAACTAGACTGTCAGCAACTAACTTGAGATTAAGGGCTGTCCAAATGCTCCTTGTGCCCCCAGTGTCTAACATAGTGCCTCACCTGCCAGACAGTTACAATACCAACTCACAGGACTTTTGTGTGCGTTAAATGAAACAATATTTATAAATGCTTCCAGAGAATTAAGTGTCTGATATATGGTATATGCTCAATAGATGCTGTGTGTCTACTAAGCAAATAAACCTAATTCTTAAATAAATGAATCAATTTGGTAAAATAAGTTTTTTCTTTGTTTCTAACAAAGCTCTTAGTTTAGTTAATAAGACTATTACTAACAATAATGGAAACAGTAACTAAGAAGTTTCCACTTTACTGATGAAAATTTCTAAAATAATATTATTCATTATATTATTTAGAAAGGCCAGAGCTACATAATCCAAAAAACAAATGACATTTCCAAATATCTCCAAGAAAAGATACTTAAATATAAACAAATATACTACAGGTGCCATCATCTCATTTAATTATGAAAAGTATGTGTCTGGTTAAAGATACTAATAAACCGTAACTAATTTGGTGTGATTTTAAAAACCTGAATTTCTGCCAGTAAACATATTTTTTCACATTATTATTTTTTCACATTATTTAAAACGATTTCAAAACACCGAGCAACAAAAAGAGCTAAGAAATATTAAATTTAAGGAACAGTCCCAATAGGAGAAATTTTCTTCACCTATAGGCAGCCGATTCTTCTTATTTGCTGGGGTAGTTGCTGGAGACAGCTGAGGAGTGCTGTAGGGAGTCATTTCCAAACTGCTGCTTTTTCCTGGCTTTGGCTGAGGTACGTTTGCCAATAAATTGTCAAGAGCCATTCGATCTTCTCTCAGTTGATCTCCAGACATCACACTCTTCATGAAATTCACCTGGCAAAATTAAAAGGCTATTAGCGAGTGAAAACAATTTTTCAAACACGTCTATCAATGTATTTCTCATACAAATACTCATCTATGGCCCTGCCCATGCTTAGATAAATGACTTTTGAGAAAATCATCTTAAAAAATAAAGCCATTACCAGAGTAATAAGCTGACTGTAAGTTATATAAACCACAGTTCTGCTCAACCCTTCCAGAAGATTAACAGAGGACATTGGCGGAGTCTCCACGGCTCGGCCCCCAATCACAACATCAAGGAAAGCAGCAACACAGCTCTGTTAAACAGGAAAAGATCACAGTGAAATTCTTCTTCAATTTAAAATAAGGAGGGCATCCCTGGTGGTGCAAGGGGTTAAGCACCGCACTATGAAGCAATCCGAAGCCTCTGCAGCACGAGTTCAATCCCCGACTGGCCAGGGAGCAACCCTCATGGCGCAGCAGACCTCTCCTGACTCATCCGCTGCTCCCCCAGCAGTATATTTCACTCAGACTGCGTGTTCTGTTCCCCACTCTGTCTCTGTCTCTCAGCCCCCACATCTCTGGTCTTTACCCCAGTTCTTATATGCATAAATAAATAAATCTTTAAAAATAAAATAAGAGAGCAAAGTTTTTTATTGCAGTGGACAAGCAAGGAAAAAGTTTTCTTCTTGAAAATTATACTAAACTCAACATGTAAGAAAACTGAACTCTTATGAATTGCCAATCTCCACGGATAATGTGGTGAGCAAAGCCAGGCAGAAGAGTGCACACCATCCTACCAACTGGGAAAAGGGAGAGGTAGGGTGAGTGGGAGGACAAATGCAGGAATTTGCTTGTCCACAGACCTCTAGAGGGATGCACAAAAGATTGATAACATCAAGAACCCCTCAGGGAGGCTAGGGATCAGAGGTGAAGGGGAAATTTCATTGTATAACCTTTAAATTTTACATTAGGCTGAATGTACAACCTATTCAAAATTTGATAAACTAGCTGAACAATGCCATGTTATCTTTAAAAATACACTTAAAATTATATAATTTAACTCATATACCCATAGATTTCTATTATTTTAATGAAATATTCCTAATAGCACTTTGATTCTAATTAGAATGGCATCACCTTAACACTTTCATAAGTGAGAATTAGTGATCTTGAGCGACAACTTTTAAATACTGCTGCTCCAACATGGTATAGAACTCTACAGCTATATCAAGAGTAACTGAGGGGCCTCCCTGGTGGCGCAAGGGGTTAAGCACTGCACTACGAAGCAATCCACAGCCTCTGCGGCACGAGTTCAATCCCCGGCCGGCCAGGGAGAAACCCACATGGCACAGCAGACCTCTCCTGACTTGCCCGCTGCTCCCCTCAGCAGTGTATTTCCATCAGTCTGCCTGTTCTGTCTCCCACTCTGTCTCTGGTGGATCCTATCACTTCCCGCATCTCTGGCCTGTACCCCAGCTCTGGTATGCAAAAATAAATAAATCTTAAAAAAAAAAAAAAAAGAGTAACTGAGGGCCTCCCCGGTGGTGCAGCGGTTGAGTGCTGGGTTGCAAAGCTGCCCGCAGCCTCTGCAGTGCCGGCTTGATCCCAGGCTGCTCCCCGGCCACAAAAGGAGGGTCCCACAGGGCGCGCAGACCTCTCCTGCCGCCCGCTGCTCCCCTCAGCAGTGTACTTCGGTCCTTCTGCCTGCTCTGCTCCCCGCTCTGGCTCTGGTGAATTCTCTCACCCTCCCACGTTTCTGACTGTACCCAGTGCTTGTATAAATAAATAAATAAATAAATAAATCTTTGAAGAAAAAAAAAAGAGTAACTGAAAAGAATATTTACTTTTCTATCACCTGAGGACAATACCTAGTAATAGGGACAGTTAGATTTTTGTATAAACTATTTCACATGGCACAGAATTCAGTCTTACTTTGTCAAATTTTCCAAGGCTGCTCTTCGTCCGAGGATCTCCCTCTTCAGAGCCAGTCATTGCCAACTGCTGTAAAAGGCGGCCAACCTGCAAACCAGAGCAGCGGGAGACGCAGGCTGTAGGTACTCACAAAGGCCTCTCTACAAAAGCACACCCATTCTAGTCTACAACTCTACTTCATAGCAACGTAAACTCCACCTGATCAGGCATATGAAATAATCCCAAATAAAATGTGTAACTTGCCTACATCACCTTTTACTATATTTAGAGTCAGTAGAAAATTTTGCTTTCATTTCTCTTTAACACACATTATATTGACATGATGAAATAAAAGTACAAAACCTTTGTGATATTGTACTTTTCATGTGTTTAGAAATTTAATTTGTGAAAGTTGATTCACTTGAATTTTCTCAGGTTAACATTAAGTATTTTTCCCTCTATAGTTCATAAAGTACTGCAAGTAGATTTTTTTTTTCCCTAGTTATAAAAGCAAACAATTCCTATACAACCTAAGCTGTTTGGAAAGTGAGTATTTATTCACAGAGCACGTTCCTCACTGCCCAAAACAAATTGTTAATTCACTCTCCTTAAAGACACTTTGCTGAAAGTTAAGCATCACTGCAATATCTGGGCAAATCCACACTTCTAATCATTTTGAAAATATGATTCAATCTGTGTTGGAATGATAAAAATAAAAACTACAACTATAGTATCATAACAATAAATACAGTGTTTCACAGATGATAAAAAACTGAAATTTTTATTTCAGGAATTCCTATATAGTTAGTTGCTAAATAAAAACCCAATATATAGAGTTGATCTTGAAAAAATAAAAGTCACCCAAAGACATATACTCTGTTCAAAGTAAACCTAGTCTCTTCTTCACAGTATTTCTGAGGGTTAAGATATGATTAAAAAGTTCGCTTAAGAATAAGACTTCAATTTAGATGATGAGGGGGGAAATGTGAACATAGAACTGAAAATCCTTTCTGAAATTCATGGGTGTAGAATAGTTTCAAATTTCAGAATTTGGAGATTTTAGAAACATTAGTTAGTGCCTATGTGTAACATATCCAATGTGTAGGATGGCATCCTGTAACCAAATACATTAACTCTTCTGCAGTAAGACATGAATATTCATTAATACTATAATGGAATACCTAGCAGCTACAAATAGTCTCATGTTAGTTCAGATTAGGTCTTACTACCAAATGAAATGTAAAACAACTCAGTTTTCAACCCTTCTGCATTTTGAAATTTTAGAAAAGCGATGATAGACTTCATTTAGAAAATCAAATTGACCATATATTCAAATGTGTAAGGGTTCCATTTAAAAACTAACACAAAATGTTTTAGGGCTACAATGTTTTAAAAGCCCAATATGATTGCTTTCATTTCATAAGAAGCAAATATTTAGGACCGTTTGAGGAAAAAGAATGGTAAGAACATAAGAATACTCTCACCAATTTCTGTTCCTACCCCACTGCACAATCAACTGATTTCAAACTGATATGCCTCATCAGTATTAATAGCAAAATCATACCTGCATCAGATTAAATCTCGCCACCTCATTAATAGGAGCATCAGAAATTATTCCATATTGTTCTGGATTGACAACTGCAGGACAAATGAAGCAGGCCAACAGGAGATCAGTACACATTGCCCTGACCTCCCCAACTTCCAGTCTATCTACACAGGAAAGGGTTTTGTACATCTGTGACACAATCCACCTCAAGCTATGTGGAAAGCAGTATGTGTTCTGCTTGAGATAACCAATAAATTTGTTCACCAAAGCCACTAGCTTGGCCTCATTGGAGTCCACCATTTCTTGAACCTTTTGCCTGAACCTATCTGAGCCTTTTTCTCCAAAGAGTTTTTCCTGTTGAGTTGGGGAAAACCTCTCAATTAGCTTGTTTGGATCTGTTTCAAGGTGATCTTCATCTTCAACAAGCAGCTGCATGATAGGCTCATGTAAAGTAGCCGTGAGAAAAAGTTTGGCAGAAAACAGTCCTTCAGAAAAAAGTTTAAATAAGATGCTGAAGGCACAAGTTCCTCTCCTCAAAAGTCTCCTAGGGTTGTCACTTTCTTTAAGTTCGAATTCAATCAAGTATCTCAAAACCTGAAGGAGGTAGCTTTCATCTTCTTGCATAATGCAGTTACCATAGAGGGAGGTAAAAACTGTGTAAATAACACTTTGTGTGTTCTCCTGATTAAGTTTTTCTCCAGCAACCAAAGAGGAGGCAATAAGACGAGGATTTTCCCTTAATCGATTCAAGAACTCTCCATAAGCAGTCTCCTGAAACCCTAACTGCTTATATCCATCAACAAACTGTGTGTCTTCCAAAATCTTGGCATGTTGACAACATTCAGCAGGGGAAGCTTCAGCACTTAAAAAAAAGCAAACAGGCAAAAGAATAAAATTAAAAGCAATAACAACATGACACATCTACTATGCCAAAACATGGAACTGGGAGCTGAGTAAAGCCTCAGCAGTCTCAGTCTGTGAATTGGCAACATTTTTTAGAGCACCAGAATCTGAATGTGTGAAAAAAGACAGGAGCAGAAAGTACAAAGGAGAACTAATTCTTCACATTAAATCAGGCTCAATGAAAAACATCAAGAAATAACCATTCTGATTTTATCATCAAGATTAGTCCTTCTGAATTCTACAGAAATGTATCATACAGTAAGTACTCTGTCCTGTCTGGCTTCTTTTCTCAACAACGTACTCAGAATCACTATACTTAGAGTTCAAAACTGCTTTTTGAAACAAAAGAACAATGAGGTACTAACAGTAAAAAATTAGTTTTCTAAAACTGGAAAGCAAATATACAATATCAAAACACGGAATTGCATACGTTAATATTAGGAGAAAAGTAAAACACATGGTAATTCACTCTCTAGAACAATAAAATGCTATATATACACGAAAAAACAAAATTGAAATTGGTGTGGTATAAAACATTAGTGCTTAAGTTATAATTCTCTGAAATACTAAACTAAGTAATGACTCACTTTAATGTTGATTTAAACTCTTAAACTATGCATTTTTGTTAGAAATAGATTCATTTAGTCACCGGTTAGTACAGACTTACAGTGGTTTATAAAATTTAAGATCTCAAAACCTTTCCTGTACCTGGTTATGATAAGCCGATCCAAATTAATTCTCTGTTGCTTAGCAATCCATGCTGTACGATACAACTTTTCAGCTGTCTTAAGTACATCTGCGTTGAGTCTCTGAATGAGCTGTTTCTCAGAGTTTACATACAAGCGTTCCTGCTTGAGGTGATGGGCCAGAGTATGAATATCTAGCTTCACCATCTTCGATGTGTAAAAGATACAAACAAAGGCTGATCACTAAAGTGGAAAAAGACAAATTAAAAATTTTTATGTTACAGAAATTGTTTTTCCAAAATCAAACGGGCTGGGAGAACACATTAAGAACTGGGCCACATTTAGTAGCATGGTTAACTTCAATTTTATATGTTTTTATTACAAAAGCATTATAGGTTCAGTATAGAAAAACTAGTAACACAGATAAGCAAAAAGAAAAGCTCTTAATAAAGTCACTGCTCAGAGACAGTCACTGGAGTTAAAAATTAAAAACACTGGCAAACCCTTGACTGCTTTCTTTCACACTGCAACCAATCAACACATCCTGTTGACTCTACCTTCAAAATACACTACAAATCTGACTACTTCTCATCACTTCCATCATCACTGTCTCTCACCCAGAGGTCTATAATCACCACTTGCTAACTGATCGCCCTGCTGCCTTGCTTGTACTTCTCGAGTCTGTTCTCTACATAACAGAGCCTATCTGTTAAACTTAAGTCAGATCACTTCAGTCACCCTGCTAGAAACCATCCAGAGGCTTATTTCCCTCTCAGAATGAAATCTGAAGACCCTACATGATCTACCCCTGCTCTATGCTGGTTCACACAGCTCCAACACTCTGGACTCCTTGGTTGAACAAACCAAGCTCACTTCCTCGTGCCCCTCTTCCTCAAAGCCTCTGCATTAGCTGATCCCTCTACCTGGAAGGCTATTCTTCCAGACAGCTTTGCAAGCCTTAGATTCATTCAAGCCTCTCTGTTCAAATGTGTTTAGAAAAGGCTTATCAGGCAATTCTTTCTAAAATTAAAAAATATCACTTCCTATTCCCTCTCCCAGCTTTTTCCAAATAGTACTTGTCCCGATCTTGCATTACATTACAGATATCTACTGCTTGTTCATCACGTTCAGAGTCATGCTTCCCCAATAAAAGATAAGGGCCACCAGGGCCAAGACTTGTCTGTTTCATTCCATCACAGCTGTAATTCCAGGGCTTTGGAGAGGGCCTGATTCACAGCAGGAGTTGAATAAATATTTGCCAAAGGAATTAATGGAATCTCACAATTCTGTTTATCTAGTAGCTAAACAAACTAATACAAACAGCACACATATTTTAAAGCATTATTATTTAAGCTATACTCTTGAACCTAGAATGTCTGCCAGACCACAAATGTTTTATATTAATAATAGAAGCACCCTGAGGTCAGATAACAATACAACATTGTGTGTCTAGACAGCAGTCATTACCTTAAAAAATACTTCTCATTAAGAATTAAGCATTATGATTATACACTTGAAAGTTGCTATAAGAGTTGAACTCTAATGTTCCTACCATAATAACAACAAAAAATGTGAGGTAAAAGATGTGCACATTAAACCTCAGCAAATCAGACTCTCCTACGTGACCTTAATGGAGCTATCATGAATTGATAAAACAATACAATATGTAGTAAATTCAGATTCTAAGGGAGATGACAATTTAGACCACCAAACTGTCTATATGTTTTAAGATAGAATAAAAACATTTTCATATATATGAAATAAACATTTTTGGTACTAGCCAAAAAAATTAAACATTATGACAGCAGCTGGAAATATACATAGAGCCAACTCATTTGCAAAAATAGATTTAACCGATTTTAATTAAGCTTGGTTTCTGAACATTTTTTTAAGATTTATTTATTGATGCATACAGGAGCTGGGGTACAGTCCAGAGTTGTGGGGTGGGAGGTGAAAGGATTCACCAGAGACAGAGTGGGGAACATAACAGGCAGACTGACTGAAATACACTGCTGAGGGGAGCAGCAGGCGAGTCAGGAGAGGTCTGCTGCGCCATGTGGGTTGCTCGCTGGCCGGCCGGGGGATCGAACTTGAGCTGCAGTGGCTGTAGATAGCTTCATAAGTTGCATCTTAACCCCTTACGCCACCAGGAAGGCCCTGGTTTCAGAACTTCTCAAAACTTTTCTTACTTTAGTGAACTACTGATGACCAGCAAAATTTCAGATTTACCACATAATATGAATGTAACTGCTATGAAATCAATATACCATATCAATTCTCAAGCAAACTATACAAAGCTTTTATTCCAAACTTCCTGTACTATTAAGGCCACCATATTGTTTTTCTCTCAAAAAATATGCCTAATTCACCAAAGTGATTCATCACTTAATTACTCACAAAAGCATCTGCGTACATTTTAAAAAATTGGTGACATACATAACTTTATTAATTCAGTCTACAGAAAACATGCATGACTTTGCAGACCTCAGTGTGGAAACCCTGCCCTCCTCTAGGGGGCTCTGAGTCCATATATGGAATCATTACTCAAATGGTTTTAATTATGCGGAGTATTACAGTGAATAAAACAGAACTGAAATGGGCTCTTAAAGATCTGTATGCTTTATTATTTAGTTCTGTTGCCCTGGGCACATATCACATGTTCTCTGAACCTGTTTATTTTTCTAACTGTAAAATGTGGGCACAGCTTCTGCATTTATTCTGTGCCTGGTATTAGGAACATATTAAGTACTACCTAGTGCATGCTATTAAGGACCTTCTAATCTAGGTGAATGAAGCAGACATGCAAGCAAGTGGCTGCCCAAAAATGCTACAGGTATTGTGCTAGAAGACTATGTAGATTAGGGGCAAAGGAGCAGTGACTGACACTTGCACCTAGTATTAAAAGACAAGTATGGGGGGAGGGGGGAAAGACAAGTATTTGCCAGACATAAAGAGGATGATGACTGGGGGTAGAATTCCAGATGGAGAGAGCCAGCCACAGAAGTACACAGAGGTATGCAACACAGTATAGCTAGAGAACTACACGGGGCTGGCTACAGGTTCGCGTGTTTGTGTCTGTTAAGAGTGAGGCTAGCCCAACCGGAGAAAGAGTAAGTGAGATAAGGGTCAGAGCACACGGTACACAGAAGCCTGGTTAACAAGCGTGGACAGCACAGCACAAGATGGGGAAAGAGCTTTAAACAGGGGACTGACGTGAGTAAAGTTATATTTGAGAACATAAACCCTGGCAGTAAGACAAAGGATGAAAAGGAAGAGATGGGACCAGATGAAGAGAGACTAAGCAATTGCTGATTGTCAAGAAACATTGCGGGGGCACAGGGCGGGGGGAGGGGTGTTGGGCGGGGGAGCACAAGGTTCTGTGATGATAGTTCACTGCTGGTGGTGGGAGAATTATGGGGACCACATCTGAGGGGAGAAATCAAATATTGTACAAAAATGAACAATGATGTAAGAAATTTTAAAAAACAACATTGCAGTGGAAATGGAAAGAACAGGACAAATCCAGAGAACACTAGAAGTTCGAAAACACAAATCTGTATACATACACACACACAACTCACACAGAGGTGGTCAGTTAAAGGTCTCTAAGTGTGGTATTATTCACCAGGATAGAGTATCCCATGGGAAAACACTTCATGAATTGAAACTGTGCCAGGTATAGTTCTAAGAACTTTGCACACTTAGTTTTCATAATATTGAGATAAGTACTCTGCAATTAAGGAAACCAAGGCTCAGGAATATTAAATAACATGTCCAAGGCACAGAAGTGAGAGGTGATAGAGCCTATACACTATTATTACCCAGATCTCTACGAGAATGACTTGGAAATCCATTCCTTTGGTCCTGATTGATTTACCTAGAGTCACTCCTAAATTTTCAGTTACCACTCAGACATATGCTTTGCACAGTCTTCCATTTCTCAATTACATTTAAAAAAAAAAAAAAGCACCCTCGGTGCCTCCCCTGGTAGTGTAACAGGGTGGTCCCCAGGAAAGGGGGAGGTTCCCTGCCCCACCCAAGGGAGGGTGGAGCTGAGCAGCAAGAGAAGAAGCTGCAGAAGAGACTGAGGAAGGAAGCAGGATGGAGCAAAGAGACCTGGAGGAGGGGCATGGAGCCTAGAGACACGTGAAGAAACTGCGCTTGTCTTTTGGTCGTGGACTGGGTGACACAGATGTGGGTGAGACCCGTGGGGAGGTGACAATGGCAGCTTTTATCTGGATGTTGATTTTGCTCTTTTCCTTCCGGGCTTGTCCGGTTGTTTGTGACCCTTTTCTGTGGGTCCCCACTGGAAGATGTTTTAGACTTGTGGCAGGCTTTGGGGCCTTGCTCTGGGCCGACCCCATATGGATGGAGTTTTACCCACGAGGGGATGGGTAACTTTGGGTGCTTCATTTAGAAACTAGACTCTTTGCCTTACCTGTATTGTTTCCTAGTTTTTATTAAAGATCCTTCCCATTAAAGTGTCATATGTTTTGTGTTGATGCGGCGGATGGCAGAACCCATTTAGAATAGGCAGGTTTGCGGGGTTTGGGCTGCCCCTCTCCCTGTCCTATAACAGTAGCACAGCGGCTGAGCACTGGGCTGAGAAGCTGCCCGCAGCCACTGCAGTGCTGGTTCGATCCCCGGCTGCCAGTGAGGGTCCCACATGGCACACAGACCTCTCCTGCCACGCCCGCTGCTCCCCTCAGCAGTGTATTTCATCAGTCTGCCTGTTCTGTTCCCTGCTCTGTCTCTGGTGAATTCTCTCACCCTCCCACACTTCTGACTGTACCCAGTGCTTGTATAAATAAATAAATATTATCTTTAAAAAAAAAAGCACCCTCTTCCCCTCTTCTTCTATACCCCACAATCTTTCCAAAATATATTTCCACTGCTTTCCTTTCCAACTTTCTTGGTTTTGTTAATAGTTTTACTATTCCAGTAAAGAGAAGTCACCTTGCTGTGTAACACAGCCTGCATTCTTCATAGTGTCCATCTCACCTGACAGCATTCCATCTCCAAGTTTTTTAACGCAACATCACCCTATTAACATAGCCAAAGCATTATCACATCTGTGGTACTGCACTGTTTAAGATGCCTTCAATGGTTTCCCACTAAGTCCAAGAAAACAGTTATTTGTTTAGGTTTATGACATTTATAGTTTTCAAAAACCTGGCCCCAAAACTATCTTTCCAGGCTACTTTCCATCACTCATTTCTAAGAACCTTTGACTTCACAAAGAT